TTCTTATTTGTAAATTTTTACATTCATTTACTTGTGTATGCTCACATTTGTGTGTGCGTGTGTGTGGGGGGGGGAGGAGATATTAGTGTGAGCTGTAGCCAGATGTAGCCGTCTACAGAGGACAACTTGCCTTAGTCAGTTTTCTACTTCTATGGGGTCTGGGAATCAGCTGACTTAGGACTTCACACACTAAGCCATCTCATCACCCTGGTTTTGTCTTATTCTTGAAATGTTCTTAACATAAGTTTGAGTTCTTATTACATATTCCCCACTATCTAGAGTGGATACATTTCAAGACCTCCAATGAATGTCTCAAAATACATAGTATCGTGTGTGTGTGTGTGTGTGTGTGTGTGTGTGTGTGTGTGTATACACACATATATATGTACATATAAAATTTGATAATTTCCCTCATATATAATAACTAATAATAAGACAACGCAATTGTAACCATATGTTGTAGTAGCTGTCATGAATATAGTCTCTGTCATAACACTTCTGTAGCTCCTTTTTAAGTGATGAGGGATGAATGTGGTAGGCAGTGTGATTTAGGACGTGTGAATGCAGCACTGTGATACCCTGATGGTCACTATGACAACAAGGGAGGCTACTAAGTGACTAATAGGTAAGTGGGAATATTGCCTGAAGGGACAATTTATGGTTCACAACCCAGGAAAAACAAAAAAAAAGATAACAAACTATTCAAAATTATATACAAACCAAAATTGTGATTTTTCTCTCAAAGCTTCTATGTGATAATTTTGGATTGCAGTTGACTACATGTAACTGAAATTGAAAAGTGAGATGGTGAATAAAGGTAACTATGGTAACCTCTCTCAGTGTAAACAAGCTGAGGACTTTTCTTTTGAAAAGCTTGCTTTCTATTATGTTTTCCCATCTCCTGTTTGCATGCTAAAGATTTGCATGCTAAAGAGTTTTATTTACTTATTTTTGGCTATATTTCTCCCATTAGGTTGGCTTATATTTAATGCTTCTGGCTTTATGCAAACTTCTTGAAAAATGTATCCTAGCTTATTTATTACAGTTACAATGTATCTCAGCTCTGCCCAGTAGTTCCTTGTCTTTCCTCTCTTATTTTATGAGCTATGCTGCAAAGGTTATCAAAGATAGCCCGTGGGACAAATTTGGGAACGTACTGTAAAAGCTGTGGTCATTCACTGCTCTTACTGCCACTGGTTCTCAAGGTGCAGAAGCAGAATTGAGATTGAGACAGGGATCACACCACACGGGGAGGGTTAATCCTTACGGCCATACGCCTCACAGAAGTCTGCTGAGCTCTGAAGTACTGGGAGAGGACAACCACCTGGAGTTCGAGAGCACAAGGCAGGGTGAGGTAGGGTGGGAGAACCCGCCTCAGGCGAATTGGTCTTCTGTTCATCGCAGCTTTAAAAGGTGATTTGTTCAGCTCAGGCTGCCATGCCATGGCCCTTAATATCCATGGTGCTGAGAAGTTTGTCCCAGATTCTTCTGGAGCTTCCCAAAGCTGCAGATGCTCAGTTCCCTTCTATGAGACAACACAGGGTTTGCATATGATTTATCTCCCCCTCTTGCATACAAGGCTGACTGTATTGTAGTGTGATAGGCTTATAAATAAAGGGAATTCATCGATCACTGTTCTGGAGGCCAGAAGTTTGAGATCTGGTGGCAAAATGTTTGGGTTTTGTTAAGAGTCTTCATGTTGTAGACTGACAATTTCTTGCTATATCTTCACATGACAGAAAGAGCAGCAATCTGCTTCTGTAGATTCCTGCTTACAAGGGCACCAATCCCTTTAACAGGGATATACTCTTATACCATCTATTTGTCTTCCATATACCTACCTCCCAATGCCATCAGGTTGCTGGGGTGGGTCAGGGTTTCAACTTAATGCATCTCAGGAGGATGCAGACATGTAGTTCACAGTGCTGGCAAATGCTCCTTGAGTCCTGAAAGAAACCTGTGCTTCAGATCGCATCCAACCTTTAACCATGTTTCAATTTCTATACATTATTATTATTATTATTATTTTACACAATTAAGGAGAGACATCCTGCTTCTGTTCTTGTCCTGTGTTCCAGTATCAGCCACTGCTTGTGACAAAGGCTAAAAGGTGTGCACAGTTTGGTCCTTATGGAGCTATTTAAAAATAGGACTTTACATGGTCTATTCATCAAGACCAGACATAGCCTGTACCTTCCCCAGAACTGGCTTCCAATCTCCTGTTCTTTATCTTCTAAGAGAATGGGTCTTCTATTTCTGCTTCATCACTTTCAAGGATTTCTTTTCCTCCAAATGATTCTGAAAAGTTGGTGTTTGGAGCTCTCTGGGATCTGTACTACAGTCCTTACAGGAGATTCGCTTTGCTTTGGCTAACAACAATTTGATCCGCTTCCTCCCCTCCTCCCTCCCTCGCTCCCCCCCTCTTTCCTTATGATGTGAGCATTTTGCATATCTCTTTGCGTATCTTAAATTTTGCCAAAATGAAATCTTGAAATCTGCCTTTTCTTTCACACCTTCAACTGGAAGACTGCATATTGTTTTTCAAGAACGTTTTTGAAAATGATCAAAGCATCTTTAACAGCTAGCTACCTACTTTTTGAGGTAAAAGATTTGTAATAGAAATAAGTAGCCTCAAGAGATATGTGTGTTTCTTTATACTTTTATTTCCTCCAATAAACTAGCAAGTATATGGAGTTTATATGGGGTTTGCTCTTTACAAATTACTAATGAATAGAATTATATGAGAAGTATGTCATATTTCCAAATACTCTCATTTGATCACAAAACGACCTCAATAAAATTTGTAAGGCATTGTGAAGTGTGCTCAACAATAGCATGCCTTTGCACTAAATATGCTTTAGTAACATGTCTTAATGACAAGTCTGCCTTTAGAAGTCATTGGTGTGGATTGGTGTTTGAAATTTTGGGTCACCTGTTAAAATGCATAATTTCAGGAGAACTTATGTAAATCTAGCCTTTCCAAAAAATTACTATCATGCTATCAGTTTTCAATGACATCGGAAATACTTTAAGGACATTATTCCAGTGTCCGTTCAACTCACACCAGCCTCCAAACATCTTCAGAAATATTTTCACTGATTATAAATTCTATTATAATCAGAGTTATGTAGGGACTGAGATTTGAAGACCTAGTCTCTATATTTTTTAACATAGCCTCAGTGTCTTCCAGTCAGTGAAGCCAAGTGTCATTCCAGCAGGAACCCTTGATGATATGCAGCAGATTCCTAGAGTTATATTAGATTTAATACTAAAAACAGATTTCAGAAATGTTTGAACAGACAAAGAAGTAGGCTATGGCTAAGATGTTTGGTGAGTATACAAATATTCAGATTAAAAAAAAAAAACAAAAAACAAAAAAAACAAAAAAAAAAATCCCAACAAAACAAAACAAAGCCTCTGAGCCAGGTGGTGGTGGTACACTCCTTCAACCCCAGCACTCAGGAGGCAGAGGCAGGTGGATGTCTGAACTTCAGGCCAGCCTGGTCTACAGAGTGAGTTCCAGAATAGCCAAGGCTACATTGAGAAATCCTGTCTCAAACAAACAAACAAAACAAAAACAGAAAACAAAACAAACATACAGCAACAACAACAAAAAACCCAAACCAAAACCCATATAACAAAGCCAAACGGAAACCGAAACCGAAACCCTGAAATGGGTAGATAGGTTGCATTTTAGAAACAGAAAAATTTTCACTTGAAATTCAGTTCAAGTAGAGGCTAAGCTGCCATTCTTGCCTCCTTTCTGTGAGCAATGTAGGGGAAAAAAAACAATGAATAGAAAAAAAATAGAGGCAAAACAAAACAACAAAAAAAGATTTACCCCACTAGTAACTCAGAATTGAAACAGCAAGATTCTCAACATAATTGTTGTTCTTTTATTTTCTTTTTTGAGCCAAGTCCATCAGGAAAACGGGAAGGTTTGCATTTTGACGGCTCATTTGGGGCGGGGCGGGGCGGGGCGGGGCGGGGCGAGGCGTGCGCACGCGCAGTGCCCACACGTCAGTGTCGAGCGGAGCGGAGCAGGTGGAGCTTCTGGCTGCGCATGCGCCTTGAGCCATCCTTCGCCTCCGCGGTGGTCAAGCGGCTTCCCGGGGATGCAGCGGGATGGTTCCGCGGTGCCAGGTGAGAGCGGGTGTGCGCGGGCGGGCGAGCTCGTGCGTGCCGGTCCCGCCCTCCCCTGCCCTCCCCGGCTCCGGGCCTTGCGCCTGCAGCTCGCTGAAGGTCAATCAAGCTCTGCCCCGGACTCCGGCCTGCAGGACCGGCGCTCCCTTCTGAAGGCTCCCAGGCTTCTTGTTTCCCTGGCGTTGGTGATGATTCATTTTTGACAGGCCCACGTTTACAGTTAAAACGCACCGGGTTGAGAATTGCTGCGCGGAGGTGCGCGTCCCCCGCGGGTTGGCAGGACCTGCGTAGCTTGCAGACCCCGTGGTTTATTGCCTAGAGACCCAGGTTGTACTGAGTGACGAGGGAGAGGTTTTGCATGGTCATGTCCCTTCGTTCCCAGGCTGATTGCCCAGGTTTGTTCTAGGCGGTGCCAGTTTATCCTGTAATTCAAGGCCATTTGCTTTGCTGCATGTCAGGTTTTGTGTGTTGTGTAATGTAGACCGGAATCAAAGGTCATTTGACCACCGTGAAGTGAAAGCCAGGCCTTTGCTGATTGGCTCATTTATTTCTCTTGTGTAATTCACCTCCTGACCCAGACCTGTGTTCCCTGCGTTGTGACTTAGGGAAGACTCAATTCTATGCCAAAGGGAGTCAGACTGGCCATGTTTTCTAAGGATTCAATGGTGCCACACACGCTTGTGGCAGGGTTAAAAAGTCACCGACTTTTTAAGAAGAAGAAGAAGAAGAAGAAGAAATCAGAACCGAGTGTAAAATGTTTGTCTCAAGTATGACCCTGTGGATGCGTTTTATGAGCAATTACACTCGGAAACTTCCCAGTGTGAATTGTTTAAAGGATCCTTTCTGTCTCCTTTCAGATTGAAGTGTTGTATTTTGCAAAAAGTGCTGAAATTACTGGAGTTCGTTCAGAGACCATTTGTGTGCCACAAGAAATCAAGGCGTTCCAGCTGTGGAAGGAGTTAGAGACACTGCATCCTGGGTAGTTAAAGTTGTAGTGTGCTTATAATGTGTAAAGTGTGTGTGTGTGTGTGTGTGTGCGTGTGTGTGTGTTGTAATACAAGAGTACTAGTTTTCCTTTTCTTGCAATGCTAAAGTTCTTGTATTTAGAAATGTCCAAGTGCCACAAAGAATATTACAGGTAATTTACTTAAAAAAATTAGACGCAGGAAAGTAGATACCCTAGACATGATTATATAATTTACAGTCATTTTTATAATTCCTAAGACATAAAATGTAAGTACTGCCTAAGATGAAAAGTTTAAAGATGCTGTTAAAAACAATGTTCACTGTAAATGTTTCTGTCCTTTTTCTTTAGTTTTATGAGATTAAAAAAAAAAAAAAGAAATATAACAAACCCTACACTTTGCTGACCTTGGGTTTTCTGACACTGGAAGAATTTCCTTCTGGTCTTGTCTGAAAGTTTGGAATGTAACTATCATCATCTTTACCTGAGCCCCCCCCAGGGATGGAATGTAGAAGGATTTATTTGGAAATGCCAATAATAGTGCTCCTTCTGTCTGCACAGAGAGGGTTCACCGGGAACTAATGCTGTACTGTGCACTCAGCAGGAAATACTTCCCCCTGACTTGGAACTTTCAGATTGCGTTCACTTTCAGTGTGAGAACTTGGCAAGACCTTTGCACTGTTTTGCCTACCTGTCCTCACGGGAGACTTCTCAGCCAGACCTACTACACATCTATCTACACTTAGGCCAGTGAAAAGGCCATGTTTCACTGTTTGGGAAGTTCTTATTTCTTTTTTTTTTCCCCTAAAGTTTTGAATATTGTTTAGTTTTGGGGTATTTGTTTCTTTCTACCCCACACATTCAGCTTTTCGGTGAATAGTAATCCAACGTATCTTTGTAGTCAAGTATCTCCTTTGAGCGATGTGCCCTCTACAGAATGAGACTTAGATTCATGCCTTTGTGAGGGGTGAGTTCTTTGATGCAGCTGAGGAGGTGTGAGGTCCAGCTCACTTTGAAATTTCTTCTTCTTTTTTCCACTTTGCAACTTCTATTCAGGCTGTTTCTCTTTCAGGCTGGCTGATGTTAGAAATCAGGTAATATTTGCTGTTCGTCAAGAGTATGTCGAGCTTGGAGATCAGCAACTCCTGCTTCAGCCTGGAGACGAAATTGCCATTATCCCCCCAATTAGTGGAGGGTAGCACATCGGAGCCGTCTAGGTATGTGGTATCTCCTTTACTTAGCCAAGCTTGTGTGAAGGATCTTGCACATGACAACTTGTATATGCTTTGCTGTTACTGTATATTCTTTGTGAGTCTGTCTGTATCAGTTCTTTGCTGATACAGCAGTAATTGAGAAATCTGCACTGATGGTAGGTATGGATGAACACTGTCTTCCATCTCCCACCAATTCTACAGTAAGCAGTTGAATGTCAGTGTGGCATGTTCGTTATAGTCATTTAACATTGCTTATCGAGACCTTGTGCTTGATGTGAGATGCTTGAGATCTTATTTTCATGGTGGAGAAACAAATTCAGAGAAGTTAAAAACAAAAACCCAAACCAAACAAGCTTCATCTTTGGGGACTAAAGGTGGCTCTGTCTGTAAAGTGCTTATAGAGACATGAGGACCTGGGTTGGGAGGCTCAGCACCCCTGTGAAGCCGGATGTGGCAGTATATACATTTCATTGCGGCACTGGAAGGCAGAGGCAGATGGATCCCGGGGATGTACAGGCCGTGGGACCCAGATTCAGTGAGAGACTCTGCAGCTGCAGGCAGCTTAGCTCACGGTGGAGTGGGATGCATATACATGCTCTTCCTGGTAGTTTGGGGGCATCAAGCTTAAGGATCGAGTCCAAGCAGCTTGTTTTATTGTCTGCTGAAGAATAGGAAAACTGTAAACTATATTATTATTGATTAGAAATTGTTCAAGCAATGGATTAAAAAAAAAAAAAAAGATAGGAATTTCCCCCCTAAAACAACAGTAAATATCCTACACAGAGGCAAAGGTTTGTCTCCATTAAAGGCAAGCCAGAAACTCCAGTTTTTCCTGGAAAGCTGCATAGCAGAGGCCAGCATGTCCACACTCAGGGCTCTGTCACATGCTTGCTGTCTGGACACCCTAGGATTCCCTGTCAGAGACAGAGCTTGGTTTCATGTGGGCATTCTGATCAGCATATCACCATGGTAACCTCAGGAGCGTTGCTAGTTGTAGTTGTTCAGACAGGTGCAAAAGATAGCATTGTATCGTGTCTGAGTGACTTATCCTAGCTAAGGTTGGAACCAGCAGGCTAAGCTTGAGTAGTCTTGTACAGTCAGAAGTATGAGGACTCAGTATGGTTGGTAGCACATAGGTGACCTGTTTGGTTTCTGTGTTATCAGAAAAAAAAAAAATGGGGTAAAGTAGTGGTTCTCAACCCGTGGGTCACGGCCCCTTCGGGGGTTGGATGACCCCTTCGCAGAGGTCACATATCAGATACCCTGCATATCGGGTGCGCTTACATTATGGTTCATAACAGAAGAAAAATTACGGTTATGAAATAATTTCATGGTTGGGGGTCACCGCAACACGAGGAACTGTATTAAGGGCTCCCAGCACTGGGAAGGGTGAGGACCAGGATGTAAAGGGACCAAGCCCCCGTGATGGCACATGGAGGTGTGAAAAATCCGGGAGTCAGTTGAATGATGTGGAAGCAAAGACTGGATTAGAAGGTCTTAGATTCTCAGCACTTTGAACACGTCTTTAATGATTCTCCGAGCCTGTCTCGGGATTTCTGCTGTGCTTCTCATGGCCGATAGTGTAAGGGCCTCTTACCTGGCCAGCCTCAGGCTAGCCTCTCCCCTCAACTCCTGTGATTCTAAGTACATCTTACTCTTTATTGTTCCAGAGTCTTGACATTTGTCTCTCCCTTTCATCATCTAAACCTTGTTCCCTTTCTTCAGGTGGTGACTTCTTATCTCTCAGGTTTCAGCTTTGAACATTTAGAGACCTTTGGGATCCCTTTATCTGCAACAGTCTGAGACCTGTTTGGGAAATTCGCTTATTTCTATTAGGTTATCTCAATGTGGTAGGTTTGTGATGCCCCCCTCCTCTGTGTGTGTGCGTGTGTGTGTGTGTGCGTGTGTGTGTGCGTGTGTGTGTGTATGTATGTATGTGTGTATGCGTGTATGTGTGTGTATGTATGCGTGTGTGTGCGTGTGTGTACGTGTGTGCATGTATGTATGTGTGTGTATGCATGTGTGTGTATGCATGTATGTGTGTATATGCATGTATGTGTGTATGTATGCATGCGTGTGTGTGTGTGTGTGTGTGTGTGTGTGTGTGTGTGTACACATGACACAGGATGCATGGGGAGATCAGAGGACAGCTTCTAGGAGTTGACTTTCCACCATGTCTTGAGCTTGAAACTTGGTAGTTAGGCTTGGCAACAGGTATCTTTACCTGCTGAGCCATCTTTCTGGACCTGTGGTTCTTCGTTGTTTTGCTTCTCATATTCAAATGTGAGCACCGATGCCGGGGAGTCTGTGCTTTTTGTTCCCCGCAGACCAGTGCCGAGTGTAGCCTCTGGCCCTCAGAATTTCTATTCCTATGGCAAACACCATGGCCAAAAGCAAGCTGGGAACAAAAGAGTCTGTGTCTGCTTACAACTGTCAGGTTGTACTCCATTGCTGAGGGGGGTCAGGACAGGAACTCAAGGCTGGAACTGAAGCGGAAGCCACGGAGGATGCTGCTTACTGGGTTGTCCCTCACAGTTTGCTTATCACACCTTGCTTTGACCACTTTCTTAGACCTGGGGGTGACTCTTTGCCACAGTGATCTGGGTCCTCTCCTATCAATCACAAATCAAGAAACTGCCCCCAAGGCTTACCTAAGCCAATCTGGTGGCGGCAGATTGAGGTTCCCTCTTCCCAGATAACTCTAGCTTGTGTCAAGTTGACATGAAACTACCCAGCATCGTACATGCAGATGGCTTTGCATAATACTGTTTGATGAAAAACTATAAAAGACTTTACACGATATCTAGGTAGTAAGAGGTCGTTACCTTCTTTCCTCCATGTCTTACCGTGCCTGAGCCAGATTGTGAAGGGCTCCTTGTTCCTGTGGGATCCATCATCTCATTGTAGTGAGATAGTCCGTCTGTGGCACGGACCACGCCCATTGGGGGGGTGGAGCCATAGGCGGACTATCCTGATCCTTATTTAACTGCGTTATCTCTTCTCTTTTCCCGTCTCTTGCTTGAATAAAGGTGCGGGCTTGGTGACTTAGTGGTTAGTGATGTTCTAGGTTGACTGGGGCTTGGTTGCATAGTGGTTAGTGATGTTCTAGATGGTGCGGGGCTTGGTGACTTAGTGGTTAGTGATGACATATACAGATGAAAGTGGTGATACCTCAGTTGTATTGTGATGAGAGAGATGAACCATAATTACATTCTTGGTGTATTTTGGCACATGATACAGATACATGCAAATGGCCGTGCCCATGTAGAATTTCTATAGCTCCATGAAGGATAGTAGTAGTTGTATTAGTTTGTTAAAACTTTGGACTTACCACTCAAATCCTCCTCTTCCCACCTGCTATAGAAAAAGTGGACATGGAAACCACATAAGAGTGGAATGTGTTACTTCTGACATGCTTACTGAGGGCTGTTGACGTCTTGCTTCTAGGAAAGATGTGGATGAGGTTGAAGAGAAACCCAAGGACATAATACAGTTCACTGCTGAGAAGCTGTCAGTGGATGAGGTCTCACACTTGGTGATCTCTCCGCTGTGTGGTGCAGTGTCTCTCTTTGTAGGTAAGTTAGTAATCTTCTTCTCTGCTTCTGTAGAGTAGAAACTAGTGAGTGCCTTCCATGTCAGTGTCCACAAAGGACACAGTGCCATCCATGTCAGTGTCCACAGTCAAAGGACACAGAGTGCCTTCCATGTCAGTGTCCACAGTCAAAGGACCCAGACTGCCTTCCATGTCAGTGTCCACAAAGGACACAGATTGCCTTCCATGTCAGTGTCCACAGTCAAAGGACACAGACTGCCTTCCATGTCAGTGTCCACAGTCAAAGGACACAGACTGCCTTCCATGTCAGTGTCCACAAAGGACACAGATTGCCTTCCATGTCAGTGTCCACAGTCAAAGGACACAGACTGCCTTCCATGTCAGTGTCCACAGTCAAAGGACACAGACTGCCTTCCATGTCAGTGTCCACAGTCAAAGGACACAGACTGCCTTCCATGTCAGTATCCACAGTCAAAGGACACAGAGTGCCTTCCATGTCAGTGTCCACAGTCAAAGGACACAGAGTGCCTTCCATGTCAGTGTCCACAAAGGACAGAGAGTGCCTTCCATGTCAGTGTCCACAGTCAAAGGACACGCAGTACTGAGTGGCAAACAAGACTGCCTGTGGAATTGGGCAGAGAATCTTCAGTTTTAGTTTTATCTTACTGTTTGATTAACAAGCCATATTAAATTACAGGGGTTAAATTAAATTAAAGGTCAATGCTAAGAGAAATTTTGCACTTCCCAAATATTGAGCTTCATTGTATTTGTTGATAATAATGAGAGCACAGATATTTTTCTTTTAAGCATGAAGCAACCCTGGGAAAGAGGAACACAGCTTGTTTGGGCATAGGAATGCTTTTAGGGAACTTGTTTAATTATTACTATTTCCTGATCATCTTGGAGATAATTATCTTTGTTATCCTAGTCAAGCTTTTCTTGTATAAAATTTAAACTAGGTTCTAGACAAATACACGCCACTTGTTTATAAGTTAGAAATAATCCTTTAAAAAAGAAAACTTCTGTAAATCAAGTATTTCTATTATAGGGAAAACTTTATTTTCACTGTGTGATTATGTGTTTTTTTAATTTTTAAATTTTGTTTTTAGGGACTACAAGAAATAACTTTGAAGGGAAAAAAGTCATTAGTTTAGAATATGAAGCATACCTACCGATGGCAGAAAATGAAATCAGGAAAATCTGTAGCGACATTAGGCAGAAATGGCCAGTCAGACACATCGCGGTGTTCCATCGACTTGGGTAGGATTTCTGTATCTTCCAAATGTTGACTGTGGTTGCTTTCCATCTGTATGTTGATATTGACTCAGACTCAGAAAGGATTGCATGTGTCTTCCCTGCCCCCACATCCCAGGACAACAGAGAAGGTTCCCCGTTTCTGCCGGGCCTGCTTGCTGGGTTGCAGCTTTGGATACCCCTGTTCCCTCTTTTGCTTTAGTGAAATTTAGCTGCCAAGACCTTCAGGCCCTGGCCTGAGCGCCTGTGGGAATGTCTCTTACATCCTGAGGTCTTTAGACAGTTGTTCTGGCCTCTAGGTTTCATGTATGATGAAAGTTGGCTGCGGATGTGAAGCCATTAAAAGCAATTCATTTTTCATACCACCAAAAGGAACAGCGTTCCAGGGTTTTAAAAGAAGCCAACAGTTAAGACATCTGTCATTATCTTGTTATTAGCTATAATTTTATTACTACTAACTGGTAATACTACTGGGTGTTGCAGATCCTGTTGCTTAAGATTAATTGATATTTATTATTTTTAATTGTATGTTAAGTGTGTGTGGTCACTTTAGTCTTTTTATATCTTACACTGTACCTTGTTTGAATTAGATACTTGTTGAATTAGAGTAGGGGTTCTCAACCTGTGGGCCATGACCCCTTTGTGGATCTAAATGACCCTTTCACAGAGTTTGTCTAAGACCATTGGAAAACACAGATATTTGTGTTTTAATTCATAACAGTAGCAAAATTACAGTTATGAAGTAGCAACGAAAATAATTTTATGGTTGGAGGTCACATGAGGTGCTGTATTAAAGGGTCACAGCTTTAGGAAGGCTGTGAACCACTGAATTAGAGAGACCCTTTCTTTCTTAGTCCCCATCAAAGTTTTATGGATAGATGCTAATTCCCACTGACTATAACTGACATGAATTCTCATCTTCTAGTTAGACTAGATATCCAAATAAAGTAGAATTACACTATACCTCTAATATACGTGCAGATTTCTTTAACATGTGAATTAGGAGATGTTGGTAATTTTCTTCATCACCTTTTTACAGTTTGGTCCCAGTGTCGGAAGCGAGCACAATCATTGCGGTGTCCTCGGCTCACAGAGCTGCGTCCCTTGAAGCCGTGAGCTATGCCATTGACTCTCTGAAAGCCAAGGTGCCCATATGGAAAAAGGTGAGTGAAGACAATGCCTCATTCTGCCACGTGGCCATGATTTTATTCATACGTTCAGACTATGGCTTCATGTACCTCGCGTGCCTGTAGACTCTTGTTTTCCTTATCTGAAATGGTGCATTTATGTAGAGCTGTTTTCCAGGTGTCAGTGTAAAACGTGTCTGTCCCACGGAAACGCACGGTGTAGAGAAGCCTCCACAAGTGCTGGCAGTTAGCGTTTGCTAATACGTACGGTTTTGCGCTTCATAAGGCAATCTCCCTTCGGTTAGGACTGTTCGCCTAGAGGTCTTTCTTTGGAAATTTAGAATAATGTTGGCTACTTAGTCTTTGGCTAAGGTAAACGCTCCTTAAGACAAAAAAAGGCTTTATCTAGTGGTACTTTCCACAGGGCGGGAGTGTGTCTCAGAAAATGCTTAATAGGAGGATTAGAAACCGGATGGTTACCAGAAATGGTGTGGCTCATCTACACTTCCTGCACTGTGGAGGAATCACAAGCTTATTCTGTCCTAGGTGACATAGACCTTATCATATATCCCATCACACACACGCGCGCGCACACACACACACGTATGTATACATACATGTATTTATGTGTATATATAGTGTACATATAATGAAATATATAACGAAAACATTAATAGGGCATTCTGTAGTGTTTTCTGCTGATAAGTCAAACAAGAATACAAGATCGAGGAATTCTTTGGTAAAATGGAGCATTCTGAAGGGACGCCTCCATCCCTCCCACCCCCTGCTCTCCACCCCTTCACTCTCCCCTCCCCCTCAACCCCCCCCCCCAGAACTGAGCAGACCGTTTTGCACTTGGAAATCTTGGAAATGTATACCTAGGCATCTGAGTCTAGAATTCCCCCAACGGTGTGTCTGTTCCCAAAGCTGAGGAACCGATGCCAGCTGTAAGAATCAGAAGAACCACGCAGGACTCAAAGGAGTGGCCGACCTCAGTCAGTGGGAGGGCTATCGAGTGCGGTACTGACCCAGGGCCCGGGAAACTGAGTGGACATATTTTCTGGGTGAATTTGACCCGCTGTGTGGGCTAAAGAGTTTGGGAACTCCTCTGGGATAACAGGGTAGAGTATGTGTAAAGGCCTCATGATTCTGAGAGAATGGCAGGCAAGCCTGCACAAGGGAGGCGACCTGAGAGCATCCCGATGAGGTTCATGTCACTGGAGAGGGGCAGACAGACAGGGCAGCGGGCGGGGCCCAGCTCTGCAACTGAGTGAGTGGGCGCGAGCCCTCACTGTTTCTTCGAGGAACATTGGATTTTCTATTTGCTTTTCGTGGTCTGCAGAGGACCGGGAAAGTTCAGGTGCTCAGGAGCAATCGAGTAGAGCAGGGAACCCAGACCTCATCCAGGAGCGGACAGAAGGCATTATTGCCGCCCCCCCCCCCCATGATGTGCAGGGCAGGCCTTTCAGACCAAGGATATAAAATGGCTGTTGTAAGGAAGGTGAGAGAACCCAGGAAAAGCAATTCAGCAGAGGATGATAGAGACAGAGAGGGAGGGAATGGAGGAGGGAGGGGGTTGGGGGGGAGAGGAGAAGAGGGGAGAGGGAGGAGAAGAGTCTTAGAGGTGGGAACTGCAGGAATGAAGAATTTAAGGGCAGTTGAGCCTGGGTTTGGCTCACTGTGGCGGTGAAATCCGGCCAGTGCAGGAAGAGGCAGTGGCTCTCCTCGCCCTCTTGGGTTGTCTGAGTTCCAGTCTGATTCTTCACCTAGTTCACACTTGCAGCTCACCCGAGACACAGACAGGCAAGGGGGCTGCAGGCAGGTAGAGGGAGCTGCGTAGAGGCCTCAGGGGACTGCCGCAGGCACGTAACTTCACAGCCGGTGGAAACCCAGTCCACCCCCAGTTTCAGGAATGCCCAAGTAGGTGAGTTTGGAAAGAAAAAAAAGGTTTAAAGCTAAAGACTTTGCATTTTCTCGTTCACAATTTAGCTCTTGATACACAAGTAGAGATGAGAGAGGTAGGTGGTCCAGAGTCCAGATGGGATTGTTTACCCTCTTGGGTAGTTGCATCTCATCTCGTCTCGTGACAACTTCTGGCCTGCCATCTGTGTTTGTGCTCTTGGTGCCTCGGGGAGTGTTACTTAGGCACAGTAGCAGTAGATGTACTGTTCTCTTTGCTGATTTGTTCAAGTGTGGTTTTTTTTTTTTTTTTTTTTTTTTTTTTTAACAACTCTCGATACCGTAATGCATTTTGAGTATCTGCTGTGGTTCTGTTTTTTTAGGAAATATATGAAGAATCAGCATCATCTTGGAAAAGAAACAAAGAATGCTTCTGGACAGCTGATGATTAGTCTCTTAATTTTTGGTACACTAAGTCTTAAAAGTGGTATACAATCTCTTAGGTTACACCAATGTAGAAATAGCAGAATGCGTGAATGTGTGGGGTGAGGGGCTGCCTAGGAACTAAAGATGGCAAGAAATGGCTTACTTCAAATATGAGATAAGGTCTCTGTGCTAGAGAACCCTCCAGTGACTAACTCCTAATTGTAGCCAGCTTACAATGAGCTGTGGCCTTCCTTTTACGGTCAGTTGTCCTGGGGAGACTTCTCTGTCTATTGTTGCCAAGTACGTATTACAAAAATTTGGCAGGATCAGAAAGTCATTTTCAGTTTTGGTATTATATATTTTACATAACTTAAAAGTGAAGCTAAACAAATCATGATTCAAACAGCCTAAATCCTGTTTATAGTCATCGATAATACCTAAGGAATTTTATATTGCGGAGATCGCCATGATTTCAATATCTATAGTTAGAGATAATACCTAAGGAATTCTATATTACAGAGACCGCTATGACTTCAGAACCTATAATTATACAATAAAGCCTTTTATATTTAATTAGTCATCAGTATTCTAATGTTTATACAAATTAGCATAGAATTGTTGCAAAACTAACTAGCACAAAGTGGTTTGCATTAAAATAGTGTCTGATGTTTAAAAGTTGGTTCACAACTATTTAGAGAGATTATGTAATTATTTATATTAAAGTAGAATGGATAGTTTTCATAATGTTTATGTAACATTAGCCTGTGCAAAGTTATTACTAAACAAATTAAATTTTTTCTGCAAGACTATTATACCAAACATCTGGTTTTTGATTGGTCAAGCAATCATGACAGGTTTGAACACAAACGTTTCATATAATTTGTCTTAAATTTTTTGGCTTTATCGATATATATTTGACGAGTAAAATATATTTAAGTTCTGTAATGTGATGTTGAGATGCTTATATTGTAATGTGACCATCCCAACCCACATGAATAACACAGCTGTCACTTTATACAGCTTCACTGTGGGGTGGGGGCTTAAGGAGCACTCTGAGCTCATAAAGAATTAAGACACCAGCATAACTGGATAATTGATATCATCATAGAATTAGCAACATTCATACTAAGAATAAAAACTACTTTTAAACAGTTACACTGAAAGGGTTTTTCTTCTTTGTCGAGTAGCTTATTAACCCTATTTTCTATATCCAGGAAAACCACGTCTTACCTATTTAGTTCATATGTCCAACAGATGTTCTCTACAAGCCTATCAAATGACAAACTCCAACCCGTGTCCCCACCTTTATTTTCATAAGAAGATTGTCTGTCCTGATGGCTGTGACCCACAGGGTAGCCATGCATCCTCAGGGGTCGCTTGGTTACTTTGCTCTGTCCCTTGGTCTGTGCCCATTCTCTTAGTGTTTGGGGTCATCTGTGTATGTTACCCTTCTCACGTTAGAACCCCCCCTATCCTTCCCCAAACTTTAGTCCGCGTCGGTGGGGGATCAAGAGCTGGGCTTTGGAGTCAGTTACCCTAACCCCGAAAACACATTATGTTACCGGGCCACTGTGTATATTCCTAGGATTTTGCACACACACACACACCCATGTTAATGTGTTGCGTTTAATATTGATACAAGATGCTTTCAAGTTTTAAGATGTGTCTACCGCTGCTGCGGAGAGCATGCCTTTAATCTCAGCTCTGGAGAGGGTCTCTGTGATGCAGCATAGTAGCTGGCCTTCCTCCTCACCAGGCTTGCTGCTTTTCTGTGGCTGGTATGGGCACGTACCTTCTGCCTCTTCTAGATTGTTCTTCTGAGATTTATGTGCCCTTCTTCTTACCCTTGTCCCAGTGTTACTTGCACAGACTGCCGTGATTAAAAGTAGGATTCTGCCCATTTCCTGTGCTCAAGTTTTGTCAGGGCGCCTGATGCCCTCTGAAGTACTGCATCCAGTAGTTTATCATCGTCCTCAGCCTCAACTTCTTGAGATCAAGGGCTTTGCCACCAAAGTGCATGAGCTTATGGCATTGACTCAAATATTTGTGGGGTGAATGTTGGTGCTGTTGGTTTCGCACACCGTGTCTCCAGTCAAACACTCCTGACATGTAAGTTGTACTACATACAGATGTGAAAAAAGCCTCTGGTTAAATGAACTAGTGGGCTAATGTAGCTGTTCTATTCCATTGTGTGTTGTAATTAGTAGAATTATCCAGCAGAGGGCAGTAGATCCAGCCCTGTAATTGTGACTGACTGAGATTTTACACTGACTAGAACCAAAAAGTTGAGTTTAGTGTAGCCAGCCATTCTATAAGGCTAGAGTGGCCCTTAAATGTTGCCTAATGTTTGATCTTTAATTGGTATCTTATTTAAAAATTAAGGGTGAGGGGCAGAATTTTAGAGAAATTTTGTTTGTAGTCTTTAATATAGAACGGTAAAAGGAATCAAATACCTTTAAAAAAATTTTACCCTTTAAAAAAATGAGTAAATATAAAACTATTATATAGTGACCTGTATGGGACAAGATGGTGGCTTTAATACAGGGTTTAAGATGCCCAGGAGTCGTTGGCCAACACAAAATGGATTCCATTCTTTTTGTTCTGCTTTATTTTGTCCATGTTTTGATGGGCAGGGGAAGGAGAGAGCAGAAACAAAACCAAAGTTGGATGAGTAGGGAGGCTGGAGGGTCTGGGAAGACTCGAGTGAGGGAGAAGAGTGTTGTCCAAACACGTCTGAAAATGTTTAAGTAAAAGAGTAATACAGGGTCTTTCTGTAAAGAAAAGTAAGGCAGAAAACTCACAAACAAAACAATAACAACAAAAGTTCTTTTACTTCTGGCTTATCTCTTCAGCACTTGCTTGCCAAAAGAAGGCTGTACGTTCTTGGGTGGGAATTCACACGAAGGAATGCCTGATGCCTGAATGGGAGATGGCTTGACATCGATACAGGTGGCCACACAGTCACATGGTCCCTGAGCACATAGGGACTGCCGTGCAAGTAGGGAGCACAGACTGCAGTCAATCTAGCTCCAGTTCAGTTCAGCGCGTGCGGCTTCTTCTTAACATCCAAGTCACCTCTCACTTCAACTTCGGATGTTCTAACTGTGCTTTGATTTTTTTTCCCACCAGACCAGAAACTTAGGCAAATGGCAGCCGGGCTCCTCAAATTGAATCTTGAATGTGTTCTGAAGCAGGAGTCCCCAAGACACATTTATAACTTTGCAATAAAAACCCATGTAGAGTAGCTAACTTTCACAAAAGTTTTAATGATATTTAACAACAGGGCATGCAAAGAACGAATTACAGTCAAATAAAAAGTTTCTGTCTGGTTCTCGTGCTTTGATACCAGAGAAGCTTTTATTTATGTCAGTTACTGCAATTTGATCATCTCCAAGAAATCAAATAAATTCTCCAAGTTGGCATACAACAAATACATTCATCTTACTTCTGTTGGAGAGGAAATTACAAAACATATTACTCAAACCTGCAAACATTACATCTTACCAAGATTACTCATCATGCATGAAGGAAATAAGACAATCTCCTCCTTTAAAAATAGACAATTCTAATATAGTTATAGTTGTGCAATATATACATTTACATTCTGGCTTCAGTTGCCAAAGTCAAGTACAAACAGTACAATCTATGTATTTACACAACTACGTCTTTATAATTTAAAATTCAAAGTAGTAAATATTTTACTCCCAAATTTGCTCCCATGTTTATCTTTCAATTCTGGATGTGTGCTCTCTCATGTTATCAAACACAAACTTTCCTGAATGCACACGAGGGTCCTGGAAGACTGTGTATGGCACTGTTCTGTGTGTAAGGAGTCCTGCCTTCTGTGGGAGGGATTCTTAATGAGGTTTTCACACGTTAGGTGACAGCTCTGTATCAGGGTAGACACAGTAAGACACCGTAGTTTGTAATTTAGAATAATCACTGAGTGCCTATCATAAATTGGCTTTTTTTTTTTTTTTTTTTTTTTTTTTTGTTCTTCACAGTTAAAAGGCAAGTTTCACTGTTTTATAAAAATAGCAGGCTAGAGAAACATCTGTCCAGTTAGGCACTCATAGTTTGCTGTGAAAATGAGCAGTGCATAGTTTTAAGTGAATCCAGTTTCTTTATTACACAGTTTTACGTTGCTGCTGTTTATAGAGTTGTGTGGTTACCATGCAGGAAGCAACTGAGGTTTTTAATAACACATTTTGTGATATACCATTTATGAAATGGAAAATTTAACCTGACATCTCTTGAGTCCTATACTTTTAAACCAAAGATATGGTTGAATGAACTGCATAACTTCCTTTCAAACATTGCCTATCCCCGCTCCAATAACTGCTTGAGAACATTCATCTTTGCTTAAAATGTCTTGAAAAATACAGGAGTCATTTAATAAAGACTGGTTGTGGGGTTCAATGGGGACATTTGTTATTGTCATGACCATGGGGGAAGATGCAATCCAACCCTGAGTAGGTAGAGGTAATGGATGCTGCCTCAAACCCTGTAAGGAACAAGACAGCTCCTCTCCTCATAAAACTACCTGCTCCAAAACTGCAGTATTGGTAAGGTCACAAACCCTGGGCTAGTGTGGAAATGGGTTAGAGACTGCATGGGGTCTTGGTTGTAACCCAGCCTTACCCCCTTAAAACTAATTATAGCTGATGCTAAGCCAAGGCTAATCAAAGGTCTCAAGCTCTGTGTGTGTAGGAGTAGGTGACCCTGGTTTACTGCCTGCAGGAGGAGAGGGCGGCAGTAAAATAAAGGAAACGTGTGCAGTGGGCACTGGTAAAGCACACTAGAAAGTATGTGTGTCTGTGTGTGTGTGTGTGTCTGTCTGTGTGTGTCTGTCTGTGTGTGTGTCTGTCTGTCTGTGTATGTGTGTGTGTGTCTGTGTGTGTGTGTGTCTGTGTGTGTGTGTGTGTCTGTCTGTCTGTGTGTGTGTGTCTGTGTGTCTGTGTGCAGTAGGCTAACGTGGTGTTTTTGAAGTATTCTCTATCAACCTAATGACTGGTTTCTCCACTCTAAAAGAACATTTTGGTTAGAATGGCATGATGGCTCCACACAGCTGTTAAAAGAATTGGATCCTGCATCAACTAAGAGAGTACCAAGCTGTTTTTCCTCTGCCTCCCTGACATTTACAGCTAATATTTTTTTTTCCTTTCTGTTTGGCTTTGTCAAGGATGAAGTAAGCCACTAACTGGTCCAATTAGCTCTGTTCTGCCACTCGGGCCTGGCCATCCATACACACACACCACAGGGGCAGGCAAGCTGTTTTTCCTGTTGCCTCTCTGGGTGCTGTTCTCGGGGCCTGTGCAGTGGGAAATCCCTATGACTTCCCCTTTCATAAGGAAAACAGAGAAGTTCCTGGCGGTTAAGAACAGCTTCATGCATATAGTGTGTGACAGAGTGGCTTCTGCTGCTGTCCCTCGAGCCTCTTCCTCCTGGCTCTCTTCTGGGGAATGTACAGACTCAGAAATAAGCTGCAAATGGGTGGGCGAGGCGTGCAACTCCCTGGATTGCAGCCTGTTTACTCCACCACGCCTAGTGCTTGTCAAGACTGCACTTGGGGGGATGTTGGGGCTTTAGGCCAGCCCAACCTAGTAAGAGTCCAAGGACTCAGGCTTGGCTTTTGCTGCCTGAGTCAGGCACAGAGGGTTCACCTGCTACGCTAGTGGTTCCCACTGCTCCTCCAACCCACACATCTCTGAGCTGTTCTGGTTGCCTTCCTTATGACGGCAACAGCTACACATTCAGGCCTAGTTTTCTTTCTTGTGCAGCAGCCCCCTAAAGCTAAGGAGCGTAGAGAGCGATGGCAGGCGTGTGAACTAAACAGGGGTTGTTCTCAGCCCAACACCTGGGGTGGTGTGTGTGTGTGGGGGGTTGGGATTCATGGTGTGGGAGATGTGGGTGGCAGACAGAGGAAAGACAGCTGCTGGGAAGAAAGGCAGGCCCCAGGGAAGGGGAGACCCAGGAGGCATTCAGCAGAAGAAATTGTTTATCTCTGGCAAATGCACTAGGTGCCTCCCCCCTAGCTGGCCAACTGAAAGAGAAAGAACTCTTGCTAGTCCTAAAAGGAATGCCCCTCCCCCTTTCCTTTGGAAAGGGATGGCTCCAGCAGATAGTTATGCTATAAATTTGTTACAGTATAGGTTACTAGTAAATTTTGGTGCCTTGGCCTTTTAAACTGTCCCTCGCCCAGCATAATGTTTGTGGAAGTATCTTTAGTAGGTGGTATACTTATTTGCAAATATTTTATATATATATATATATATATATATATATATATAATCTGTATTTCTCTTGATTATTTAAGCATGTTTATAGTAAGATAGGACTCAGAAGAGGCAGTCAGAGCCTATAAGAAACTAACGAGTTTTATCTGTTTTTCCCTTAAGATCCTGCTAAGCAGACACTTTATGATTAAGCTATGAGTCAGCATCATCTCACCTTTTGCTTTTAGACAGGATCTCCTTAACTTGTCCAGGATAGCCTTGAACTCACTGTACAACTCTGGGAGACCTCAGAGACACCTTTCTCAACTTCCCGAGTAGCTGAGATTACTGTCCTGCAAAAGCAGGACCTTCTCCCCCCCCAAACAAACAAACCTAGTTTATAAATAAGATTACTACTCTCACTTTAAAATGTTCTCTATGGCAACCATGGATGAGCAGCATAAATTGAAAAAAATCAATCTATGCTGGTTTTCTCTTTTCAGCAAACATATCTATTATAGTAATATATATATATATATACATATATATATATAACTATGTGGAAGTACTCAGTATAATATATATATATATATTATCTACAATATAAGTTATGTCACAGTTATATATATGTAATGTGTACTTATATATGCTATATTGATAGTATATATATATATATAACACATATAATATGTGTTATGTATTACATACATACTGGGTACTTTCCACTTTTTCTGATACTGTTAATTAAATTAAAAAGAGTATTCCCATGCACTCTACCACCCCCCCATATGAAAATGTTACAGTTTTCTTGAAGGCTTGTCAAGCATAGATGCACCCCATCTTCCTGTCACAGTAAATGTTAGCCAGTCCTAGAGATTACTTTGTTTTTCTTTCCGTAGAATGTCTTGGGTCTTCCTAGCCCCTAACCACCACCCACGATGTCTTCTTTCCCAACTGACCAGCAGTTGCTCTAAAATTATCAGGCGCGTTTGCCTATTAAATTATTTGAAACTGGACTGTAGGAGAAATCCATTCATCACACAGCGAACCCTAGCGGGAATGTCACCAGCCACCATGCCATTGTGTCCACCGGAGGCTTTTAGCTGTTGAGCTCTGTGGTCTCGTCCGTCTCGTCTGGATTTTGGCTCATTTTTTTATACTGTCTTTTGAAGAAACCAAGCTGTAAGGAGACATCGTAGCCTGTTACCACCCTGTGATACAGTTATCGTCGATCATTACCCACCAAACACACGTATTCACACTCATACAGCTCTGTTTCCACGTTACCGCCATGGCGCCCTCAGCACGTGCCTTTGACCGGCTTTGTTGCCCATTTCTCTGCAGCCCGTCTGGACTGCCTGAGGCTTAGGGGGACTGGTGCAGAGGCTTCTGGCTAATGTCTGAGCACCTGCATATTGCGGAACTTTATGTCCGGAAGGTTAGGAAGGTTAAGTTTCACTGTGCGAAACTGATTATCTGTCATAGCAATTTGAAACTGAACAAAATGGTCAGGGTACTGGGTCACGGGGAGGTTGAAACAAAAACCAAGTCCTTCTTGGATTTGCAGAGACTTGAGTAAGACTACAAACAGCCTTGGCATTCTTTGTCTCAATGGCAAGGCATGCCACGCCATTCAACACTGGTGCCTTTGGGAGTACCGCATTTTAGCCGTGAAGCTCTCTTACCTTCCACAAGCCTGCAACGAGAGCCGACAGCAAGAGGATCCCAGCAACCACGCTTCCTATTATGACCCCGGTTGGCACTTCTGCTTTCTCCGTGGGTTTCATTATCGTGAGGGGGATCTGTGAATGAGTACGCAACACAACCGAGTTATTTGTAACATAGGACCTCACCCTTCCCTGGGGAGCAGGAGCGGCTGGGGTAGGGATTGTTGGGGGAACAGGGGAGGACAGGAGGGTGTGGGAACAGGGACCGACATGTAAAACAAGCTTGTTTAAAATTTCAAATAAAAACATTATAAAAAAAAAAAAAAAACAAAAAAAAACCCGTGCATCAGCTTTTAAATACGGACTTCAATCTCATTCAAGCTTGACAGGAGATGGGATAGGGCACCACAGGGGTGCAGTTGGCCTTTTCTGTGATGGCATCGTCCTTGGGCACATTCACGACTTTGCGCCCATCTCCCACCGTGATCTTTGTGGCAGTGGAGGGGGTTGGAGTGGCGCCCCCATTCCAGGGACACTTCACGTTCTTCTTCTTGGAATCTCCACAGAATATTCTTAGGGTTACAGAGCAAAAGGGCACAATGATGTTTTTTTTGTTTTTTGTTTTTGTTTTTTTTTTTGTACTTGATACCATGTTATGCTGTAGTGATAAAGGGGGTGATTTTTCTTTTCTTGGTTTGATTTTTGCTTCTTGTTTTGTTTTGGGAGACAGGGTTTCTCTGTGTAACTCTGGCCACCCTGGAACTCGCTCTGTAGATGGGCCTACCTCTGCTTCCCTAGTGCTGGGATTAAGGGCACGCATCACCGCCACCCTCGCCAAGCTGCCTTTCGTGGTGGGATAAACAGGAAGCCAGCTGTGTGACTGTGTCTCTCCTCATTTGTAGTGGAAAGCTAAATTGCTCTGAATGAAGTTACTGTGAGTTGGTGCTGGTCACTGCCTGCCATGCAGCACTAGTGTGGGTACCAAGGCCGCATTCCAGAGCCCACCCCTCTGATGCGTGGGTCACCCCGCACCGTGGCGCACAGTGCCTCATGTACCTGATTTTGAAGCGGCCCTCATATAGGTGTGCGGCAATATATTATTTGGGTTCCAAGCATTCCTCAAAAGGTTATCCCAATTATTGTCTGGATTACAGGATTTCCCAGACACAAGCAGAAGTCAGTCTCTGCTATTAATTAGCTCTGCTCATAGAAAAACCAAGAAAAGAAAAGCCTGGGTGGATTTGTGAAAATGAAACTTTGAATTTTCAGATAATGTCTTCAATGGCTGCTTTCAGAAGGGAAAGACTTAGAGTTTACATACCCCCCAATTCTGCATTACTCTAAAGTGAACTCTGAGAACCGTCTATACTGCTTTCTGCCGTCACTGGGCTCACAGCAGTTTCTGGGTTTCCATGCCCAGCCTCTGCAGAGAGGGTGTGGGTTTTCACCAGAAAAGCAGCCTCTATTGTGTGGAGTCATTTTCCTGGGGCAAGAGTGGGCCAGCAGGGCTGTGAACTGAACCCAGGCATTGGGAGAGGCCCAGAGTTCATGGGGACCTTGGCTTTTTAACCGATCTGTAGGCTGGAGCACTGGACAGAGGCCAACTGTCCAGCTGGCCTTGGGGACAGAGTTGTGAATTGACTTCCAGTTCTAAACAAAAGCTTGGGGAGGAAAATGCTGGGGACGCTGCCAGCAGATTAGTGGGGCATGGAAATCCTGCTGTAGCTAAAAATGGTACAAGCTAGCCAGAGGCTCGCTGCTATGGAAAGTCGCCTCTGCCAGCCCCAAGAAGAGAGAGCCTTTGTCTTCTGTGAAAGGACAATCCTCCATAGTACTCTCCCTTTTAAATGAAGGTTACATGTGTAGTTCTTTAGACTTTGAGGCCATGGATGGACATGGCGCTGTGTCTGGTTGTAAGAAGTACTTTTGAGAAAAAGTTTAATAAGTGCCTTACTGGCGAGCGCCTTTTTACCGCTCTAGACCCCATTCATGATTTGAGTCAGTGCCTCAGATACCGATCGTTTCTCACAGCACATGGAGAGGCGGTGATGGAGCCTGAGACACGAACTGTCACCATGGGTCCCACACACGGCAGAGCCCCTCTTCTGTACCCTCTTGGTGGATTGTCACTCCTAGAAAGCCAGCTTTGCGGCATGGCAGGCTAAGAAAACAAACGGCAAGTGTGTCGCTGGATTCTCTGAGCCGCGGCCACTCTGGCCCCATCTCAACCCAGTAAAGCCCAGGCTTCAGCATGTGAACCGGAGCCTTCTGGATACACAGAGATGAGGATGGCCATTCCGTGCTTCATGCACATGTCTGTCCCAGGGAGGCATGCGGCCCACACTCACTGTGACGGCGTTGTCCTCGATCACGTATAGCTGGGGGTTGTGTGTATCGATTTCTGCTGCTGCTGTCAGCTGCACAGTCTGGAAAGTCGACTGGAACAGAGAATGAAACACATTTCGTTCTCGTGGGAGTAAACACAGAAAGCCTGGCGGGTTTAAGGCTGTTTAGTTCCTGGCGGAAAGTCACCCTGGGAAAACGCAATTCTGAAGACTCATCCTTTGCATGCTGGAACTCGCTGTGTGGACCAAGCCTGCCTGTCAGAAGTTACTGAGCAGTCTGTGAAATGTGCAGCAAGTGGAGCCCATTGCTACAAATTAAACCAAATCTCAGGGTGGCACCCAGACAGGAGCCTTAGAAACACCTCTGTACATTATTCAAACTTGCAAATGATTCAAAGAGAAGACTTACAGGGCCTGTTTTTTAAAAAGGGAAACTTGAGATTTTTCCTAAATTTAATGAAGCTTGATGCATGGAAATAAAATTACACACAATACTCTTCTACCCATACCTGAGCAAGGCACATAATGAAGGGACGCTAGAATTTTGTGTTTCCTCTTCTATTGTATAAAATATTACTATCTAAAAGTATACCTGAACTTGACCATAGATGCATGTTGTCTGCAGAAACCGGGAGACTTCTTACATGTTATATCACATTAGGAATGATTTCACATGTCTCTATCAGGTGATACTAACTGGGGTGGATGTGTAAGGACATACATGTGCGCTGATGATCTGAGTAAGGATATACAGTAAGCTTAACATGTCATCATCAATTTCTTTACAGAAAGAGTCTGCTCAGTGGGAACATGATGGTGTGAATGTCTTGCTGTTTGTGTTGGCGATATAACACAAATTGTGGGCCTGATAATGGTGTGTGATAGACCAACACCCAGATGTTAGAGGCGTCTTCACGTGCGCTGGCAGCTAGGAGTCCGTTGCTCTGGTTACCAGGGCACATCATTCAACATCTTCATGAAGTAATTGGCTAGACTGTTTCCAGGAGCCAGCAAGAGAGGATATATTTCCAAGCAGTGAGCAATTTGTTTCCTTTCTGCTGGCCCAATCTCTGGTTATCCTTACTTTCTCAAGATGGAAGATTGCATCATATGTTAACCCTAAATGCTGATCTTTTAAAGATACTTGAAACATTAGGAGTATACACATGGTGTGTGTGTGTGTGTGTGTGTGTGTGTGTGTGTGTGTGTGTATGTAGAAATGGTTCAGGGATTTAAAGAACCCTCACTGCTCTTGCACAGGATTCCAACTCAGTTCCAACCTGTACCTCCAATTATAGAAAATCAGTTCCCTCTCCTGACCTCCAAGAGCACCCACATACATGTGGGACCCACACACACGCACACACACACACGCACACACACACACACACCTTTTTGTTTTTATAGTTCTGATAATGGCAGAAAGTAAACAAAAAGTGTCAGTCACGTGAATGCTAGACTATGTGATGAAATATTTGTTCTTAAAATGGTCATGTAGCTCCCCACACAGAGCTGGCTGTTCTTACAGATGCTCAATATTCTGCAGTGTTAATTAGTAGAGGAAAGTGTACTGTGCTGCGCACACCCAGCAGAACAGAAGGGCACACTTGGCCAGCATTCACCAAGGTTTCCCTTACAAAAGGCAGCCAGAGCCACTGGGGAGGCCGGGCGATCAGTATGCGATGAGACACTCGCGATGTTAAGCTGAGGTGGACTGCATCAGAAAAATGGAGGGACAGGGATGGAGCACTGCTCGGTGTGGGGAGCACTGCTCGGTGTGGGGAGCACTGCTCGGTGTGGGGAGCACTGCTCGGTGTGGGGAGCACTGCTCGGTGACCCCCACACAGGAGATGAGACTGCAGCGTCTACTTGGCTGTTAAAACAGACAAAAGTAGAGCAAGGGCAAAAAGTTGACCTCACACAGCCTGATGGCTAAAACATTGTAGCTTCAAGCAAACTCCAGAAAAGCCAGATACTTTTCACAGAGCTAGAGCGACGATCTTTTGATGGGCAGAAGTCAGTTTTCCTTCCCACTTGGCAAAGTTGGTTACACACATATAAGGAGCCAGGAACCTACTGAGTACCATGACTGAGTACCCAGACCGAGTACCATGACTGAGTACCAAGACCAGGTACTAAGAGTGAATACCAAGACCGAGTACTGAGACTGAGTACCAAGAGTGAGTATCCTGACTGAATACCAAGACTGAGTACCCTGACTGAGTACCCTAAGTACCCTGACTGAGTACTGAGACTGAGTACCCTGACTGAGTACCCTGACTGAGTACCCTGACTGAGTACCAGGACTGAGTACCCTGACTGAGTACCCTGACTGAGTACCCTGACTGAGTACTGAGACTGAGTACCAGGACTGAGTACCCTGACTGAGTACCCTGACTGAGTACCGAGCTGCGGCAGCTGGGAGAATGGTGGGGTCTCCAGCACCACGCCTCACTCCTCAGGGCTTAGATGCCCAGAGGGTGTAAAGCCAGTGCAGCCGCTGGCCGGCAAGCAAACAAAAGAGGACAGAGCCTTCAAAGGGAATCCCAACCCTCACTCTGCTACTCCCCCAGTTCTGTAATCTCCCCTAAATCCCGCCACTATCTCATAGTGTCTTCGCTCAGTCTTACTGCTAATGCTTTGACCGCAGGGCCAGGGTAGGAGGGCGAGCTCTAACCTAACACAGAACTCCAACTCGGGTAACGGCAATGACTGCCGGTTGTGAGATTGGAGGGTTCAGGGTTCGGTGAGATCCAGTGAGAGCCACACAGATCCCTGGGAGACCCAGACTAAGCACGTTTGTCAGTGCTCAGAGCCAGCATTGGAAAGGGCGTTAGCTAACCACCCTGGCCGGCCGTCGCCTGGACCAGGGAGGCTGAGGCCGGCCCCTTCTCTGTATTTACATTGTTCCTGCCAGACTAAACTCATGGCTACCAAATCCCTGATCACAGGTGCTGCGGCAGGCTCTCACCTGCTGTGCAGAGAGACAACACGGGCAGGTGTCTCGGTGCGGTCTTTCTCATGGAGGTTGAAATAGCCGGAGAGTTGGTACACTTTCTGGGTTTACCCATCAATCTGAGCTAACCCAGGAAAGTAGAGTGTCTGCCTGTTTATTAATAGAGGGAGATGGACTCTCACACTGGATTCATCTTTGGATGTTTTAAGGTCAGTGACACAATTGGCTGAGAACTCAAGGATAGAGAGAACTCAAGGATAGAGGCAGGGCGTGGACACCCTGATTCAGCTGTGACTACAAAAAGAGGACTATCAGGAGACCGAGAAGATGCGAGGACAGCAAAGGCATCCTCAGCAGCCGCATTCATGTAGATGCCATGGCCTGGTGTGCTGTCTAAGAGGCAGACTCCTTGAGCTTTCCAGATGATCCTGAGGCAAAGCCAGGCAGGGTGAGCATTGGAAAGGGATGTGAGCTTACTACCTAGAGTACAGATGCTCTGGCTTGCTTGGGCATTGCTGACTGTGGGCAGGGTGCTATTTCATCAAAAAAGGGAAATACTTGTAGTGAGATATTCACTCCGCCCACACCCGTGGTGCTGACCCGTCCATTGGGGTTGGTGACAGGTGTGGGGAGAACTAGGTCTAGGGTCGGTGACCCCAGAGGTAGAGAGCATCCGGAGGCACCCTTGGGACAGGAAGCTGCTGGCGTTCATCTGTCTCTGTAGTGATTTCTCCCTGAATAAACATCCACCAGCCTATCTGCTTTCCCCGAACCTTATTTTTCCAAAGTGCAGCGGGTGCCGGCGGATCGAATATCTATCTCACTACAAATACTCTTGGCAATGAAGCTGCGTCCTTTCCTGCTGTCCCTTGATAAGCCCAGAGGGTAAAGCTGACACTTACAGCAGCGAAGGTCCTGTTCCAGACTCTGGTAGTCACATTGATAAAGTACTCGGTTTTCATATGGAGGTCCTTCAGCCAGCAGGTGACGTCACTGCAGGAGGTGGCTGTACAGTCCTTTCAGATCAGAGTCCACGGGGAGGGGGTGGGGGGTGGGGAGAGAAAGAAAGAGAGAATGGGCGTTACAAATGCTAAAGCTTTAAAAAAAATGATAAACAGTGCTAGGAAGGACCTGTGGAAGCAAGCACTATCAGGCTGTTAGGACTTGCGTAATTGTTTGTGTTTATATCCATTATTATTAATCCAATTCACATTAGCATTAATATCTGTTTGTTAGTATTCATCATCGGTATGTAAGTGTATTAGTCTTTATAGCTATTACTAGTATTTAAATCCAAATTATTAGTAATTTTTATCTTCAAGGGATTTTGATATCATGTCTCAGAATATAGAGAGAGTTGGCAGAGCTTTCCCCCAGGCATTTCCTGTTCGTTTGGACAACCCCAGAGGCAACAGAACTATGTGAAAAGAAGGTGTTGCAGAGTATTTGTTTAGCCATGTAAAGATGTGTTGAGTTTGTTTAGTTATGGAAAGATGTGCTACTGTTTCACCTTGTCTATCTAAGGTACCTGATGGGTCTAATAAAAAAGCTGAATATCCAGTAGTGAGGGAGGAGGTGTAGGTGGTATTTCCAGGCTGGGAGAGTAAGTAGGATGAGGAAGTTAGGTTTGAGGAGAAAGAAAAAGAGACACCAGAGACCAGCCAACCAAACACAGAGGAAGCAGGCGAGTAGGACATACAGAATGAAAGAAAGGTTAAAAAGTCCTGAGGCAAAACGTAGATGAATGGGGCCAGGTTAAATTAAGTTAAAAGAGCCTGTGGGACAAGCCTAAGCCAAGGCTGAACATTCATAACGAATAATACGTCTCTGTGTCTTTATTTGGGAGCTAGTTGGTGGCCTGAAGAACATTCCTACTACAAAGGGGCACAACCTGTTCATTATACTATTTATTCATACTATATACAACCTGTTCATTATACTATTTATTTATACTATGTACAACCTGTTCAAACATACTATTTATGACAGTAAAAAAAAAAATACCAGTAACTAATTCATGTTACCAGCAATGTGCTAGGTAAATAAATTGTTGAACAGAAAAAAAAGGGTCATATAATTTAGCCATTAAACTTAAGGATAATAATGAGTTTCCTGGATTAAAATATGTCAACAAAAGAATCAGTAGTTATCCGGAGTTAGGGGCAAGAACAAGGTGTGAATACACACAGCACCATAGGTTTATAGGGTTGTTAAGCTACTGGGTATGCTGCCATAATTAATGGACACAGACCATTATACATTTGAAACTGCATAGTGTGAATATTTGAAATTGAGCCTTAATATAAACTATGGCAATATGATCTGTTAGTGTAGGTTTGTCACACATGACAAATGTACCGCTCTACCATGGGGCTTCGATGATGGATGAAGCCACGAATATGTTAGAACAGGAGGTATATGGGAAATTCCTCTATATTTCACATGGTTTTGTTATGAATTGCCTTAAAAAGTAAAGCCTTTTAAAAACGGGCTATGAGACCTAGAGAGTTAGCACAGTGGATTAGAATACTTATGAACGTCAGGACCAGAGTTCAAGTCCTCAGCACCCACATGAAAAGCTTGACCTGGCTGTGAGTGTCTGTAGCCACAGTGTTGGGGGAGGCTAATGAACCCTGAGAGTTCTCTGGCAATCTAGCCTAGCCAAACATTGTGGACATCCAGTACAGGGAGAGACCCTGCTTCAAGGGTGGAATAGAGAAGCTCCCCAGCCTCATACTCCCGTTTATGCACCATATAAACACACACACACACACACACACACACACACACACACACACCATTACATACATATGCACACACAGTCCACACCACACACAGGGACACACACACTGCACTATACCTACAGACATAAACATTGTATATACACGTACTCACGCCATGCTCCTCCAACTCACATTGCACAATACACACATTCTCCTCCCCACCACTAAACCCTGAAAACCAAAACCCCAAAGCACAGGCTATGACATTGGCCTTCTTGATACGGCCAAAAATATCAACATGGCTTACTTACTACACATCTGCATATTAGTAGACAGAGGAAAAAAGTTTTACTTCACCATGTTCTGTCCATTCCATCCATCACAACATAAAATAAAATTGCAGAGAAAGAAAGCCAGTGTCACTGATGGGGAGGACCACAGCTTGCCTGGGTTTTATTGTTTACTTACCTGATGACTGAGTCTGTGCCCAGAACCATGCTACGCTAATCTCTTCCCTCACAACAGGTCTGAGCTGGGGAACAGGCAGTAGGTAGGTCAGCACATGGAGTTCCTTTCTAGGTTAGCGAGCGGAGGAAGCGTTGGTTTCCAAGTGCTGCTTTCCAGCCTGGTTGCTTCTGTTGATTCTCTTTCCCTGCTCGCCATCCCTGGCCCTTCTGCACCCTCCACCTTTCCCCTCCCGTGTCCACATCACACCTGTCCTGCCGATGCTGTGTGCGGTTGACCTAAGCTTGAAGACCTGTTTGCTGTTTCCTAATTCATGTTCGGCATCAAAGCAGAAGGACACTCTAGAGTGTCTACTTCTGGGACAAAACAAGAGCCCCGGTTCCAGCTGCGACAAATGCCAGATCACCTAAGGCAAGCTCTGCAGGAACATTGACCTAATGCTCACCAATTCTTTCGTATGCTGCAAGTTTTCACTCTTGAAAACTACGGGAGAGGACGCATGTCCGAGCTTTAGTGGATTTATTTCTGCTTCACAACTGATGTCACCAGCCTACAAAGAGGAAGACCACGTCAGACTTGGAAAGCGAAATGGTTAGTGCCCTTCAGCCTGCCAGGCAATCCTGCCATCATGTGGGGTATGGGAGGGGCCCTGTGATCCTTTCTCAGGGGCTCGGTGGCCGGATGCTTCAGGAAAGCCTCGGAGTGTTCCAGTCATCTTATGCGGCTGACGAGGCAAGCCAGCGTCTCATAGCCTGTCATAATTTCAGTGTGGTTTGTTCCAAACAGGGCACACATTAGAAGTGTGATCCTCAAGTTGTAGTGTAGAGAGGAGATGGGACCTTCCGAGTTGGGTTCCAGCAGAGCATCTGCAGGCTAACTGGAAGTTTGCCCTAGAAAGGGAGTTCAGAATTCCCGGCCCTCCCTAGTTTCCTACTTGGCGATGTACTTCCATTCCCCGACCTCTTGTACCAACTAGCATGGGAGCCTCAGCAAAGCTGAAATGATGCTGGCATCATATCACCGAATTGCAAAAACTGGTGGTTAAATAAGCCTTTTTACCTGTAAAGTTAATCTAACCCCAGGCATTTTACTGCAGCAACGCAAAAGGAACTAACACTTTTCCCGGTATGACACTGAGATCAAGGGGCTGGAGACCCAAAGCCGCAGGGTCTTCAGGACACAAGGAAACGACAGGGATCCCAGTGAGGGCCCAGCGTGGATGGTGTAGCAGAAGCCAGAGGCCTTGAACCAGACCAGTGACTCTTTGCAATGACCACTTGCAACTAAAGACATACAGATGAAAGTGTACTGCGTGACCCAGTATGTCACACTACAACCGACACGATGGGGTTTTCCTTTTCTTCACGCTTAAATTTTATTGGGGGGGGGAGTTACAAGGGCAGAGGGCAGATATAAAAGGGTGAGGAAATGAATAGGATTGAGACGTATGGTGCGAAAGACACTAAGAATAAATAAAAAGAAAGTTTGTTATTTTTTTTTTTAAAGAATATAATAAAAGGAAAATACCCTGAGTGTTTCCACTCACGGTTTCTCTCTCTGGAACATTTTAGGACTCTAATTTCTTGAAATCTCCTATGCATATTACAGAAACAGTACTTCTGTAAGGCCAGCTAAGTGCTCAGCTAAAGGAGACCAATGTTAAGAGGGGTGGCTATGTCAGCCTCTTAGCTCTGGCTGCATAGAAGAACCCATGTCTGTAACTTTTGAAGAGAAATGCCAGGGTTCTGGCCTTATCTTCAGATTCTGATTTCATTGCCTTGACCTTTCTCCTTAAAAGGTAACGGGTGGGGTGACTAAAATGAATAGTTAGGGCTGAGCCCTACTGTGTGGACAGCCAGCTGCTTGAAGACCAGCTGCCAATGGCAGCTCTCCAGACCTACTGTCTGGCGGTAGAGTGAGCCTCTCACTTTTGAATGTTCTCTCCTAACAGGGTTCCGACCGAATCAAACCCTCTCCTCCTCAGAGCAGAGATTAGTTTTTAAATAATTTCAGCCACCAGGTTGCTGTTTTCTTAGGACAGCGTTCTGCTTATAATATGAAGTCTGATGCCAGTTTGTTGGGATATAGGGTGGATACTGTTCCCATTTGCCTTTCAACTTTTAGGTGCAGACACAATCAACCTTAAGTCATGGGTTGTTTCTATCTGTATGGCCAGCTGTATTGTCCTTACCTCATCTGTTTGCACCCCGGTCAGATACAGGAGTGGGTTCTTCGCCTTGGTGTACTGAGGAATGTGGATGGTTACTGATGCCATGGTTACCGGAGAAGTTCCTGTTGTTACCTATGCAGAGAATCACAGGGGATGCAAAGCTAGTCAAGGTGAATGGAGAGTAATAGCATGGCTTGGGCAAGGCCCTGAACCTCACATAAAAATTAAGGACCACCAAAAATTCAGCAGCCATATATTCCCATGGTACCTGTTCTCACTGGTGGAAATTACGTTGCTAGTGTGTAAAACACGCAATACAATGGCTGATGCTTACATTCTTGATAGTGCCGTTATTTTAAATCATGGATTAATTAAAAATCCTATAAAGCATGTGGTTACCATCCTCATTTTCTGAAACACAGTCTGGATAACAAACCAAGATTCTTTCGTCATCAAAGATATGAACTAAACTGCAGAACTAGAGCTATGTGTGTATGAGTGGAAATGCACAGAGACAGACTGGTATCAATGCAAGGAGGCAGGTGGATTCCGATGTACTTTCCAAGGTTTCTACAGCATTCTTTTCTAAATTAGCTATCCCTTGTAACTCAATCTCTCTCTCTCTCTCTCTCTCTCTCTCTCTCTCTCTCTCTCTCTCTCTCTCTGTTCCTACCCCATCCCCTTTGTCCTTCTCTCCATCATACTCTGTGGCACAGACTGGCCTGAAACTTATAGCAATCTCAGCTCAGCATCCCAAGACTGGGGTGTCTTCCTTTGAATGTCTCCATAGAACTGATTGCGATCTGTAGATTAGTAGTTACCTATTCAGAAATACAGTTACGATGCACTGAATTGGCTCAGACTTAGCATGACTGCACCGAAGGGGGGAAAAAAAAAAAAGCCCTTTTTGAACCATGTACAAATGATGAGCTCTGCAAACAGGGCTGGCCTCCTGGCACAAAGTAGCGTAATGGACACAACCATGGTAAAGCTATGCGGCGATGCCTTGTTGGCTAACCCTCAATATTTGGTTTTGAAAATATATCGCCTCTCCCTTGCCGAGGACACGCAAGCCAACACAAGTCCCTCTACTTATCTGTCATCTACCCCAGAGTTCTCAAAGAGTAACACCCAAATCAGCAGCATCTGCCTGCGGCCCCGTCAGAGAGGTACCCTTCCTGGTTCACCACAGAGCTTCTGAGTCAGAGACTCGGGGTGAGGCTCAGCTGCATCCTTCTGCACGCACAAGCCTGACGGCCACTGGTGTACTGCAAACCCGCGTTGCTTCCTACACTCGTCCATCTCATCCCCCCTCTTCCTGGTTTACCATCTTTACGACAAGCTCACCAACCTTGAGCGAGAAGATGAATTTAGGTCCGATATCTTCAACACTGTTTATGACTGGAGGAGCATTCTCATCCGGAGAGATTTCACAAAAGTTTATGTTGGTGGATCTGTTGGATGACGTCGGTAAAACCAGTTATTTTTGTTTTGCTGTTGCTCTTGAAGCGTTATTATTTATCTCACTTAACTATCTTCTAGCTTGGATTACCATCAAAATGGTTCACTTTTACCTACAGGAGCACCAGATGATTATTCTACTTTTTTTTTTAACCTTCCATACGAGAGGGTAAGAGAATCTGTCTTTCTGGGGAGTATAGTGATGGCAATGGTACCTACCACTGATGTCATTTGCATGCACGTACACACACACACACACACACACACACACACACACACACACAAAACTTAGAATTATTAATTATTACACAAAAGTTAAAAATATCACATGTGAGTGAATGTTTGTCACATTCCACAGTCCAATGTGTGTTTCTGAGATTAAAAGAACTCCCTTTCAAATGACACCCCGTTCACTGTCTGCCCGAGGAGAGCCTGTGTGTGTGTGTGTGTGTGTGTGTGTGTGTGTGCGTGTGTGTGTCAGTTGTCAGGGTTCTAACATAGGGATAAAAGCACTGCTTTAGAACTGACATTTGCATTCGCCCCCAGACTTCAGTTACACTGGCAAGCGTATTGAAAAGGTGGACACTCCAGCTTTGGAGGCTGGATTGGATCTGTAAGTCCAGCTCTGTTTTACTTGCTGTGTGTGTGTAGCACAATGATGGGTACCAGCTGTTAGCTCCTGCAGTATTCATTACTGAATGCCTTTCAAAAAGGGCTTGGATTTATTTTATTAATCTTTTCTAGTTTTAGACCATCTCAAATAGTTGGCAATGGATTGAGGGAGGACTGAATTTTTTTATCCTGCAGAGCTACTCTTAAAATCCAAAGATTTTATTGTGAGATCTGGACCGCGTGAGTTAGGATGCCCGATTAGTGCCTACAAGTACAGCAATGCCCAGGCCAGATGTTCCCCAGGGCATCGTTCGGATGTGGGCGAAACGGACGCCTTCCCTTTCCCCACTTCAGGTGCTTCAAGGCTGCCGTTCAACCGGGGCAGCTTCTTTGCACTGTACGTAAAAGAGCTGGCAGCCAGAGTAGGATTCTGCAGAGCCTTCCGCACACCCTTCCATTCATGCCAGGGGACAATTAACCTAAATTATAGGGCGCTCAATCAATTTCCTAAGAACGGACTAGGCATTTTCTGAGACAGAGTGTTTTCTATCCTCTGGGCACCTCTGTCTGTTTATCTCTGTATCTCCTTCTCCCTCCCTCCTTCCCTCCCTCCCTCTGTCCGTCTCTCCCCCTTCTCTCCCTCCCTCCCCCTCCCTCCCTCTCTCCCCCTTGTCTCCCTCTCTCCCTCCCTCCCCCTCCTTCTCCCTCCCTCCCTCCCCCTCCTCTCCCTCCCTGCCTCCCTTTTCCTCTGTATGCCCCCGTCTCTCTCCATCTTTTAAGAAAGTTCTTCCAAAATTTCAAAAGGAAAACCTGTCCGGGGGGAGTTAAACATATTGTTATTTGTCAGAGTTTTATGTGCACGAGAGGAAACAAGGACGTGTCAGTCTCGCATAGAAAAATGGGAACGCTGACTGGGATGTGAAACAGAAAACCCAGCTATGTGTGCATGAGTTCCCCCCCTTGCCCTCCAGATGTCTACGTAAGCCCCTAAACAGAGCCAACTCCTAAATCAATCGACGTGGTCTGCTTTTTCTATTTTAAGGAGATCTGACACTTTTCCCATAAGTTTCCTCTAGATTACTTAGGGGTTATAGAAGCAGGAATCTAATGGGGATCCTGTTAAAATGATTCTATTTATATTTATCGCATGCATAGAATAGAATGCACTGCATAGTGTCACAGTGTCTCCTAAAGGACATGATGATCCGATGGGACTTTCCTCAAAAGCTTCCAAAACGTTAAAGCTTTCTTTTGCGGTACCGTTTTTGATGGCTACGCAAACAAAAGTGTGAAACAATCAAATATCTAATTACTGCTGGACTGGTTACATGGATTATGATTCATCCAGAAACAGAACGAATTAGACATGTATATCCTGCTGTGAAAACCACATAAAGATAAAAATGAATGTCTTAGTATTCAATTTTAGTAGGTAAGATTATGGAGTGTGTGTGTGTGTATATGTGTATAGCATCCTAAATAAATTAACTGTTTGTAAAGAAGATATTCCAAAATAGTCTTGTTAGCCATTTATGGGGACAGTCATCAAGTTGGCGGAGAATGCCAACATCACTTTTCATTTTGTGTCTTACTGTAATGTTTGTATTTTCCAAATATTTTCATGTAATGCTTTAAAAAAACAGTATGTGGGGAAATACCTGGATGTAGGATCAGAAGTCATTTCTCTCAAATCCTCCATAACAAATATATTTTTTAACCATACATCTTGGCATTTCAAAACATACTATAGACTCCAATACTAGAACACATTAGAATAAAAACACATAGCTAAGCTCTTAGAAAAAGTAAGATCCTATTCTAACCCTATATTCATTCCTTGTTAACATGCCTGAAAAAATTATGGGCTCTCACTGATTGTGTTTAAGAGAATTACAGAACTGTATACATTAGAAGGAAAAAAGTTTAAGTGAAGCGGTAATGCACATCACCTTATCTTGGTCATCCATTAACTTACTTTAGTAAAGAGAGATTATTTAGAAACTCTAGCTACTGATACACTTATCAGGGCTGAGTAGCCCGGGCTGGCTGTATTTTGTTTCTATATGTGCCTTTGCGACTCACCTGATACCGACATGTTCTTTTTATCTTTGTGCATGTGTCTCACGTTTCTAAGAGGGTGCCATGCGTTTGTCCCTTTTCGGGGTTGCTTTGTGGTTTATTGCATGAGCTGTATGTTCCTTGCTTCCACGGACTGGGCTGGCAAGGCAGGAGTTAGGGAATGTGGTTGCTCATGTTGTCACTGGGAAACTAGTGCTGCATGTTTCCAGGGGTCTTTGGTTTATACAGGAAAGTGGCCTTAGTTCCGAGGGTGAACTAAGATGGGATCTGCCTATAGCACCTGCAAGATTTATGTGTTAACCATTTCCCAAGACACCTGCCTCTTGGAACAATTCAAGATAACTGGTATCTACTGGTAACATTTTAACCACTGTCCTCAGGTTGACCTGTGTTGGAAGGCAGAATAGGAAATAAGAAAGAAAAAGGAATAAAGCCTTTTTTCATGGATGACTTCCTCTGGAAAATCCCTCATTTCCTCCTGGTTGGAAGAAAACCATCACCAGTCATGTCTGGGGTTTTCCACTAAGAAGCTACACTTGGTCTAGGCTCCACCACAGCTTATTCAGCCTGAGATTCCATTTTCTATTTGTTGTGCCCCTTAAGTGTCCATAGCATGAGGCCAGGGGCTTCCATGTCCAAGAACAGGAAATCTCATGGCCTTTGAGAGTCTGTTTCACCATCTTAGTCACAAGCACCTTACCGCCTTCAGGGGGCATTGACCTATGGCATGTGATGGAAACATTTTTCCTCTGGTGCTGTTCTGAGTCAATAAACCTAAAATGTTCCTAGGCATCAGTTTGTGTGCATGTTTCCAGTCTAGTCGACAAGTGGGAAATAAATCCATATGCTGAGACTGAGCCAATAGTGCACCGTGGGGTACTGCTGGGTAAAAACCTACCCACCGTATTGAAGGCATCACCTACCGGGTTAGGTGAATCTCAGCGTCATACAGAAGAGGGATCTTGAGACTAACAGAATTGTCTGCTTTGTTTGCCTCTTGGCTTTCACTGTTAAAGCAAGTATTAGAAATTACTTAAAGAGAAATCGCATAAAACCCACCAGGCATATGTTTATGATTGCACTGAATCTCACCTGAAGGCTTGGAAATGGATGGATGCCTGATTCTGGGGGTTTTGAAGGTTGAAGTCAAAGTTGATGGTAAAAGTCACCTACACATGACATTAAAATCTGTCAATCCGTGATACTTTATACCAGGAAGAACGCCCCCCCCCCCCAGCCAGGTGAACCCATTCGCATGAACTCTGAATTTCGTGTCTTAACATTTTAAGTTGATCGTTATCTGTCCACCTTGCATACCTGACAAGCACAGCTCAACTTCTGTGAGATGTGTATGCCATCCAGCTACACTTGCCAGAATTGCCAAGCTCTGTGGTGGTTTGTAATTTACTGACAGTCTTTTGGCCAGTGTTACTCGCATAGGAGAGCACTGCAGATAGCATGTGCACTTGGAAAACGCAACCTTTGTTAATGACTTAATGAGAATAACCCCAGGGAGGAAACCCCTTCCCGGCCAGTATGTGACTGGGTGTTCTGTGGTGTCTATTAAACGACCATGCCTGGTAAATACAGTGAGTGATTTCAGGGGTGGAGAGCTGGGATTAGATGATGGAAACTACCTCCTGTTCACTGTTCAAGGCAGGATATCCCACATCACAGGTAACAGATTTCTGCGACGAGTCAACCTGGCATGCCACTTCTGTTCCATCGACCTGAAGAGGACCAGAAAAATAACAATTGAGAGAGAGGGGGGGGGAAGAGTTGTGTAGCCACCCTGAAAGGCAAACATCTTAGCATTCATATTGGTTTATATTGAAATAGTTCGTTGCTCTCAAAGACTTGAATGTCTTATATTATCCAAGTGGTTAACACATTGGTTTTATTGCCAACTCTAAAGAGACGCGCAGGAAACTAGACTACTGGGGAAGTGTGCACTGAGATGGAAATCAGTTCTTGTATTTCAGAAGCACAAATACCTTTCATATCATATTCAGAAGCCTTATATTTAATAATATGTTCTTCATAATGTTTTTGAAATGCATATTTTTAAAAGAAGAAACGTATACGTTGGCATCTGTATCTTAGATAGATAACAGATTTTTGCCAGTTTCTCACAGTTCATTTTGTCTTTCATGTAAGAGTTGCTGTCCAGCACAGGCCATGTTAGCACAAGGACAGCATAGGTTTGAAATTCTACATGAACTTGAAACAGAAAGAAACATTTTAAATCTTTTAATCAAGCAGCTCAGTTGGAAAAAAGCTTTTCCTTCCTTCCTTCCTTCTCTCTCTCTCTCTCCCTCCTTCCCTCCCTCCCTCCCTCCCTCCCTCCCTCCCTCCCTCCCTCCCTCCCTCCCTCCTTCCTTCCTTCCTTCCTTCCTTCTTTTCCTCTCTCCCCTCCCCATGGCTTGAGAATAGAGGAATTAGCAAGGGGCTCTCCTGGCTAAGTGTATCCCTGGTTTAGTGATCAGGTCAGCTGATAGAATGCACCATCCTGGCACCAGAAGCAGCCGCATTGCAAAGCTGGGACCACACTGTGGGACTGGATGCTGCTGACAAGTGCACCACATCTGCGGAGCCCAGGGCTGACAGGCGGCTGCCTCACAGCACAGATGGTTGAAGTTAGGAGCTGCTGCCGCCAAGGCCTGGGCTAAAGGAAAAAATGACCCTGAGCACAAGCAGAGCCGCCCTAGATTCGGAGCCAGGCAGCATTCTCAGGAGGCTTTATTACCTGGAAGCCTCAGGGTAGAACTGAGCACGCCCAGGGTCTACTGATTTTTTTTTTTTCAGACAACTTGGAGGACACAGAGGTCTGAGTATCAGAGACAGCGACTGGTGGAGAGGAAGGAGCAAGCTGCTGGGTGGGGTGGCGGTTTGTGTGGGGTGTGTGGGGTTAGGGGTAGGGATGTGCATGTGTGTGTGTGTTGGGGGTAGGTTCCTCATGTACCGGCATGGAAAAAGAAGCAAAAAACAAGTTCTCAGAAAACTCCGCCTTGACTGCAGTATTGTATGCGCTCTCTCCTCTGTTCTTCAGTGTCACTGAAAATGTCAACCTTTTGTTTTGGTTGCTGACAATAAAGGGCTGGTCTCTGTTCAAACAAGAAAAGAGAGGAAGATAAAGGCTCAGAAGTTAAAGCTAGCCCCGTATTCAAAACCTTTCCCGATTCATGAAATTCTTTGCATTCACTTGACCATTACTTATTAACAAAAGATTTTCCTCATAACAAAATGATGCTGGCAAGTAAGCAAATGACGCCAGATCTGATTGTTGGTAGCTTTTTATCACTAGAGCTGCTCAAATCCAGCAGTTTGGTATTTCTCATGGTTTTACTCTTAGGACAATGGTAGAAGTTGAAATTCAGTTTTAAAATGTCTTAACTATAGTCTGAAAACTTCCTCTGTAGAAAAGAAACCCAACATTTTTATCTCGGATGAAGAGATGTATTGTGCTTTTTTTATTTCTATACTTTTCACAGAAATGCAAATTCACACATACTGAATGGTGGCTGGCATCTGTTGGACATCCAGGGTCAGGTCAGAGATGCATAGTCCATCACTGCCACATTCTTTATAGAAAGGAATCTACAAAAGAAAAAGCATCATTCTCTCAGGGACTCTTGGATATATATATATATATATATATATATATATATATATATATATGCACACACACACATATATACATTAGTATACTAATTAGTATATTAGTATAGATGTATCAGCATATTAGTATATATATATATATATATATATATATATATATATATATATTATCCTGTTTGCATAAAGGTTGAAACTATGGGAAACCAAACAAAATTTTAGGAGCCTATACATTGTTAGCATAATCATAAAGAAAAATTATTGAGAAGTATGAAATTCAAGACTTTTTTTGAGACAAGAGTTTATCTGTGTAGCCCTGGCTGTCCTGCAACTCACTCTGTAGACCAGGCTAGCCTCAACTTTAAAGATCTGTCTCCTGGATGCTGGGACTAATGTCATATGCTACCATGTCTGGCTGGTAATATCTTATTTATGGAGAGCTAAATTAAAATAGACATAATGGAGAGAGACAGACAATTTCACAGGTGTCTGAATTTTTAAGTGAGTGTTGAGCACAAGCAGTTTGGCCTGTTGTATTCTTCATTCTCTATTCATGGAACATTTGTCCAACACCTGTGGTGGATTGCCCCGTCTCTTGGGGATAGAAATTGGGGAGGGGGGGAGGAAATATCTGCTCTGTGGATCTGAAATGCCTGTCAACTGTGTCCATCGTTACTCCTAGGCTGTACCCTTAGCACCCTTAACACCGCAGCCCCTACAGGAGCCGTTAGCCAACCTCTACATGGAAGGGCCAGCCCACTCACGCTGAAGACTTTGACAGTGTCAGAATAGGCTTCAAGGGCAGGACTAGTGCCAGGGTTTGCCAAACTGATGTCCACACGCAGGTCCAGAGGGTTGACAACGTCAGAGGGTTTCTAAGTACGGGAGGAGGGGATGACAGATGACTCAGTCATAGTAACATGGAAACAAAGTTCGCAAATGCGTTTGTTTGTAATTCGCATGTTTGTAATTCGCATCGCCGTCATTTTTGTTTACCTCCAATCCTAGCCCCCTCCCTTTCCTTACACACACACACACACACACACACACACACACACACACGCATGCATGCATGCACGCACACACACTCACATGCACGCAGCACTCACATGCACGCACACACACGCACGCACGCACACACACACACACATGCTCACATGTGTCTACGTGCCTATGCGAAGGTGTCTTCTCTTGTTACTTTTAAGATATTACCCAGTTGCTAAGGGGATGTGTTTCATATAACTTATAAAATACGTTTCTGATTGGAAAGTTTCTCCTAAGAAGCATTTTTTTTTTCTTCCTACAGGAAATGTTTTCCAAATCAATGTGAACTCTAGCAACTATGTCCTAATAGTGGAACAGGCAATCTTTACCACATAGCCAACTATCATTCACCTAGTCCAGCGGTTTGTGACCTGTGGGTCATGACCCCTTTGCGGGGGTGTCACACATCACATATCCTGCGAATCAGATGTTTACATTATGATTTATGACAGTAGCGAGATTACAGTTATAAAGTAGCCACAGAATGAATTTATTGTTAGGATCACCACAACAGGAGGAACTGTGTTTGGAGGCCGCAACGTTAGGAAGGTTGGGAACCGCTGGCCACAGCGTTAGGAAGGTTGGGAACCGCTGACCCCAGCGTAAAGCAGTAGTCTAAACTGAGATTTTCATTTTCAGTAACTTAAGAATGACTGCAACATTTTTCCTGATAGGAAAGACGTAAAAAGAAAGATGGCAATGGAAAGTCTACCCAATTAGCCATTTAACAAAGCCCTGTCTTCCAGGTTTTTTAGAAAAGCATTTATTTAATTAATCTATTTTCTTTACTCAGTGTGTGTGTGTGTGTGTTGGGGTGTGTGTGTGCCCAATGTACGTGTGTGTGTATGTGTGTGTGAGTGTGTGCGCACGTGTGTATGGAGGCCAGAGGAGGACATCAGGTCTTCCTTCATCATGTTCTAAATTTCCCCCGAGACGTAGATGACCCTGGAGTTAGGGGGCAGCCATCTTGTCTCTGATGTTCACAGCACTGGGGTTACAGGCACACACACATACAGCCATACTTAGCATTTTGACGTATGTGCTGGAGACTTGAATTCAGGACCCATTGCTTACGCAGCAAGTGTCCTTACCAGCGCAGCCATGTCTCTAGCCGCCCCCACCCCTCTGGTTAGAGACATCACTAACACATATCAAGTCGGAATGTGACCATAAGTGTTAGCATAAGAAAATGTGTTTCTCGTTCACAGAGTTAGGTAAGGAACGCAGTCACCAGAACGGCAAGCATTTTCCAACACATAACTTCCATTCTTCCTGTATCCATTCATTCACCTTTTAGAAGAAAGGGGTGGGAAGAGGTAACGCCGAGGCCTCACCTGGATGCTAATGTAGTATTCAGAACAGCTCTGTGCTTGGGTTATAGTCACGTTCTTCTGCAGGAATCTTTCGCTGTTTTCTTTAAACATCCCCCTGGAGGTTACTCTGGAAGAATATCTGTCTGCGTCAAGTGTCATGTTAAACAGGATGGCTGTGACAAAATCACAAAGGAATATGTCAAGTGAGCTCCGCGGAAGGAAAGGGACAGCCTTGTTTTATTGTATCTTATTGGACAAAGCCTGGTAACAAGAAAATGCAGAAACTATATGTCATGTGATTCAGTCTAAGAGAATCCAAAAAAGGAAAAAAGAAAAAAGGAAGATCCAGAGAAACAGAGCTTCTTGCCCCAGGAAATGCACTGGATCAACCTGGGAAAGTGATCCTTTCCTGTGAACTAGCTTCATCTGCCGTAGCATGGGGCACACACACGGAAGAAGTTGCCATTATGGAATACCTCACTTTAAACAGGGCCTCATATGTTACCAACTCTACGACAAACCTGGACACTGGATATCCCGGTGCTACTGATGGGACAAGGTCAGAGATAAAACTTGAGTCATTCTGAAATGAAAGTTCACAGCGTTCTCTCTATTCCATGCCATTAGAGGACTACATGTCATTATAAGGATAAACTGTGGTCACCTGATAGAACAGGTACAGGGTCTGATGTATCGTAGATGCTTACGTGGAGAAAGGCACGTGACGTCGCGGCTCAGAGTTTGAGCCAGATGTTCTTAGGTTGAACAGTAATTCTACAGTTTATGACCTCCGTGACTTTGAGCACTTTACCTACCGCTTTTGAGTCTATCTTTACGAGTCAGAAATTATTAATATCAACTCAGGGGAGTGGAAATTAAAAAAAAAGTACTGTGCGATTAAAAATGATGGCAATAACCAAAATCTAAATAGTCATACCAAGTTATAGCAGCTGTCTTATTTGTAATTACTTTATGATTAGATTTATTCAGTGTTTAAAGTTGAGTGTATTTCCTAAGACCATATACCTATGTTACCTTTAATGTATCTATTAAAGAAACTCGAGGAATTTCTGTGCTTAGTAGGATGTTGAAAATGTGAAAGAACTGAATGGAAAGACTAAAAGTAAGCGGTGGATATGGAAATGGAAAGCTAGGGGCTGTCAGAAGGACACAGCACACACCACGTGTTTTCTTCAGCTGGCTCAGTAAAATAGACATGTGGTTTCACAGACCATGCAGTTTTAAAGATTACGTACTGTTATTGCCAAGCAACAGTGAAAAATTACGACCAGCTCTTCAATGTAGACCTGAGCACAGCAGGATAAAGAGTCAAAGGGAAAACCCCCAAATCCTCACCAGCCAATTGGCAGGAAGGGAATTCTCTGAAAGTCCGGTTTTCTCAGTATGGAGAACACTCAAAACGTGGAAGACACAGAGGCACATTCATTTATGCTTCAGGGCCAAGATAGCTGGGCAGCCAGTCACGTCTGCCCAGGGACACATTTAATCTTGTAAGCAGACTAAAAATGTTGATATGGTGGCTTTTTTTGTTTGTTTGTTTGTTTGATTTTGGTTTTTTTTGTTTTGTTTTGTTTTTTTTTTTGTTTGTTTGTTTGTTTGTTTGTTTTTTTGACTTAACTACGATGGCTATTCAGATGGATGCGTGCTCCAAGGCAGGCCTGTGGGGTGTGCCATTCAAAGGTGGGGCCAATGTCTGAACAGCCAAGAGTCAGGAAACCCGGAAGCCATGCGGGTTGTGTGTCTCTTTGGCTTCTGGCTCTGTTGATGTGCTTCTTGGTATGAATCATGGCAAACTGCTGACCTGATGGCCTTCAGCCTTTAAGCTGACCGCTTGCAATTTCACCAAGTGCCACTAGGAACTAAGAGTTCTGTATTAAAGAACCGGGTCTGATGGAGGAGAGATGAGAACCCACAGACTAGCAGGGGGAAACACTGGGCTTTTAATGACGCGCTGCTTTGCTTGCTGTCTGCAGAAGACGCTGAGATAACAGAGCTAGATGTTTGGTTAGCAATAGCATCACAGAGGTGGCAGCAGCTCGTCCAGGCCCTGCAAGATGACCTGGCCTCTCAAGGGGAGGCGGGGACGATAGTCCTGACTGTACTGCCTTCCACTCGATGGGACGCACAGCAGACTCGTACTGTACAGATGCTAGGAGGATGGGTACAGGTTGCGGATCCCTTTCTCTTTTCCTTCCCGTCCCTCCTTCGTAACAGGAGCAATACTCAGCGCTTTCGCTAAGCACACCCGTGTAGCAAGGGCGTTGACGGTAGGTGGCCCACTCACCCAGGACTTGCCACAGCTCAATGAAATCCGGGCGTGTCGAGGATCTACAGAAAGGATCTCTGGGTAAGAGAGACGCAAGGGCTGAGCCCATCATTATGCCACAGTGATTACAGTGTTCTGTGGGCAGAACTCCACCAGCTAGAGCTGAGCAAGGATGCTCTAAGCAAACCTCCACACCGAATGAACTGCTCCTAGGCAGTGAGTGCGTGGGGAGATTTAAGCATGCCCAGTAAATCTGGCATCTTTATTTCTTCTGGTGTGCAAACTGAAACCTCCAGCCAAAGCTGCCAAGGCAAAGCCATCCCTGTATGGGTTATTCCAGAGCTACTCACCCACTTGCTGGCTTTGTCCGGTGGGTTTAAACTTTGCTCTGAAGCAGAGTTTGAGGGTTATCTTAGCTTCCTTGTTGAGCAATGCGATTTTGTCCGGAGTGAATGAAACATGTATAGCCACATCAGCAATGCTTTGTGACCTGAAAGGCATAAATAGAAACACATGTATGTTTTTGCCCAGCACACGTATGAACTTCGCATAGAGGACCCAGGGCCAGTATCATTGAATTTTGCTCTCCATTATCTTAGAACCTGAGCAATTTCTTTTTCTTTTTTCTGTTTGAAAGCAAAAGATAGTAGCAAGGGTGAATGGGTTCTTGTCGGTAACAGTGTAGCCTGCAGAATATATATGTTTACATTGTAATAAATACACACTGATACTTAAATATACACATGTATTTAAAATAACACTTGGACCTACACAGAACGGAAACCTGAAGGATTGAGAATTGACACGACCCCTCTGTGTCTTCCCAGCCGGGGTGGGTGTCAGTTCTCAATCCTTCAGATGGCAGGAGAGAGAGGCGGTAGGAAGATGGCGGTACCAGAGCTGCTGAGTGCTGTCCCGTCTTCATGGTTAGCATCACCTGCCCATGATGGTGCCAACATGCATGAGGGCAGAATACGGCCGAGGAGTCGGTCACAGGGTGCAGAGTTTCCTGTCCTGGGGTGGCCCTTTGGATACCTGAGACAGTCTTATCTGATCCTCCAACACTGGTGTGACTTAGAAAAACACTAGTTCCATTTTATTAACGAAAGTATCTGAGACAAAGGCACCTGGGGGCTTACCGCCTCACTGGATACTTGCCAGTGAGAAGGTGGAGCCTACAGTCTTCAGCCCCTCCGTTACTGGGGTTTGGACGTCACCACAACGACCCCTGCACACATCTAGCCCTATTTATAAAGGCAGCAAGCAACGATTAGTGATTTCACCGTTTCGAAAAGTACCACACATAGATCCAGACAACATTTCCTTTTATTTTCAGGCATCACTGGGAAAGACTGTTTCAAAAGTTACTGTGTATCTGTGATCTCTCTTAATACGCAGCCGTGACACATCTAATAAGAAATGTAACATGGCCTCAGGTTGCAATCTAATGCTTAATTGAATTTTAGCGCAGCCGTTTGAGAGACTGGACACTCATTCTAACACAGATGACACTGCTTTACATGTTTTATGAGTTTATTAGACATCACTCCTAGAGTTACGCAGAGAGAGCAGTTCAGTACTTCTTAGGATGTGACCACAGAATATTAGCTTAGTTTGAACAGTCAGCTCAGCACATTTCTTTGGTCCCACCTGTGTTGACTTTTCTGAAGAGTCAGACACACCTTTTGAAACAGAAGCTAACTAAGCTGTATCACACAATAGCAAAGACATCCCACGGGAGGCCTGCCTAGAGGCTTCCATGGTGTCGTTTTGATACGTTATTTTAAACGAAGCCAGGTATACTCTATAACATTCCAAGCATGCCATTCTTTAATCATCTTATCTTTATTCAGTACATGTATTTTCTAGTTTCTCAGTCTTGAAGCTATCATTGGTTTGCCGTATAATAGTTTCAAAATTTTCATTTTGTTCCTGAAGAGCTCAATACACATGTGTACAGAGTAGCGTCAAACTCAGAAACGATATAACATCCATGGGCTGTGTTTCTATTCCCAATATGTCTGGACAGTTAGAGCAGATATTTATTTCAACATAGAAAAATGAATGCATGAGATGCATGAGTATTCGTGGCTGAATAACCAATTTCTTTTCAATTGCATTATTTCACTAGATCATAAGCCTAAGTTTTGTGTGTATGTCTGGTTTTTTTGTTTATTTATTTTTGGTGTGCGTGCATGCATGCATGTGTGCATGCGTGCGTGTGTGCGTGCGTGCGTGTGTATATTTGTGTGTGTGCACATGCATCTGGAGGTCAGTGGTCAACCTTGGATGTCATTCCTTAGGTACCCTGTTGTTTGAGACATGGTCTCTATGCCCTGAAACTTGACAGTTATTCTGTAAATTAGCTGGCTAATGAGCCCTACTCACTGCCTCACCCTAACTGGGGTCATATACATATAACACTATGCACGGCTTTTTGTCAGTTAATTTATTTAAATAGTCTCACTATACAACTGTGGCTCTCCTGGAACACAACATAAACCGGGCTGGCCTCAAACTCACAGAGATCCACCTGCATCAGCCTCCCAAGTGCTGGGATTAAAGGTGTGAGCTACCTCACCTGGCAGTGATTGGCTTTTTGATGTGGACTCTGGGGCTTGAACTCAGGTCGTCAGGCTTGTGTAGCAGGCTCCTTCACCAACTGAGCTATCTTTCCAAGCCCTCCATACAACTAGTTTTTAAAACCTCGAACCATACTTCTTTTGAGTCCCTTTTTTTTTGTTGTTGTTGTTCTCTAAACTTTTACACCAATGCAAGCAATGAAGAGGTCAGCTAAGCCAAAATAATGGTTCTTATTCATGACTAGCAATTTTAAAATATGCCTTTTAAAGCACATTAGACGTTTCACTTTACTTGTGCTTGATAGTTTGTTCTCGTGAGGTTTCCTGACTGGAAGCTGAAATGAGCTGTGTGGTGTAAGAAGATAACAATTAGAAACGTGGGGTGTCATTTCACAGGCTTTGTCTTTTCTATCCTCTCCCTTCACACAAGGAGAAGAAGAGCATAACTCTAATGATAAAGACATCTCTCCATATAGATGCATATATATACTCATTATGATATATATGTATATATATATGCATCTCTATGTGTGTGTATGTGTGTGTATGTGTGTGTATGTGTGTGTATGTGTGTGTGCCCAAGATACATGCCTGTCAGTAAATTATATATATAATGTGTGTATATATATATATATATATACATTATATATAGTGTGTTTGTATACACAAATATATATATATATATATATGTATATATATATTTGCACAAATATCTACACACATAATATATATTGGTTCCACTCAGGAAAACCATGCATACTTTTCCCTTTATGCAAACTATGATAAGTACATTTCCTACATTGGTCATTACACATACTATGCAACACAGCAGGTCATTTCAATTAGCTAGTCTGAATCTTGCACTTACTGACTCACCAGAGTTGAACCACTTGCCCCAAGGCGCCAATGGATACATCAGTGATGGCATCTCCATTTAAATCTCCATAGCCATCCAGGGACCTTCCGAAGAACTGGAGATGACGCCCGAAGGCTCCATCGGAACCAAGGATTTTCTGAAAGAACAGATTCAGCGCGAAGTTGTGGTACATACAGATGACTCATACAATGATGCCCTACCTTCACATGCCCCTTACATTCACTCTACGGTCATTTTTCAGTTGTCTGGTCAAGGACATTCTATTGTTTTCTTCCTCCACATCTTATCTGATCTCTGTATTACAATAATCCTTTCTGCAAGGAAATAGCGTGGATCTCTAATGTGTAAATACAAGCCAGTACAAAATGGTGTAAGGTCAGTGGCTTAGAAAGAGCTGAGACATGTCCAGGTCTTGATTCCTATCCTGGCTAGCTTTTCGCAGGACTCACACAAAACTGCCTGTTAGTGAGGTATTCTTCAGCATCCCTCAGTCATCTGACACCCCTCTCCATACGTTAATAACACATAATACTTGAAAATTTACCTCTTAATTGAGTTCTTATGCTTGATCCTTGCCATTTGTTATCATTTGTAACACTGTAACTTCATTCTTTTATTGATATTTCCTCTATTGGAGTATGAGGTCAGGAAAAAAAAAAGCAGAGTTTTGTCTGTCTTTTCTGCACAGCATTCTCAGAGCTAGACTAGTGTTCAATATGTAGTAAAGCTTTGCTATTTGTTTGTTTATTTGTGGAAAGAACACAGAATTAAGGTAAGAGGCATGGCCTGGATGATGCTGTCTAGCTCCAACATTTACATAGCCAATGCATTGTTCATGGTTACCTGGGAACACTTGGTGCGAATGGTACCATGATGGCCATTGTAAATGTACACTGCTCCAGAGTTCTCATTCTCTACGGGCGAACCAACGATCACATCGTTAAAGCCATCCATGTTGATGTCTGAAAGGGCTGCAATCGCTGAACCAAACCGAGCATTCCCATTGCCTTCAGGTCCTTCAAGGAACTGGTGCTGATTCAAGATGCCCTTGCAAAGAGAGAAGGAGCCGTTACAGCGAAACTCTCCATGTGTGTCATGAAAATTCAAAGCAACTATGTCCAAGATTTCACAACCTGAAAGTGTGTAACGTTTTACTCTTAGAATTAATGATTTCCTATTGTGTGATTAGAGTTAACTAATAAAATTTCATTAATTCAGGTCACAAGATACCTGCTCCTAAGACATGATTAAAGGAGGTAATAATTCTCTTCCCTGTACCCGAAAGCCCTACCTAAAACGCCTGACTCTTTATCTCCATTTTCTGTCAGTACTGAGACTGTTACCTCTTTCCAAATTTTTGATTTAAAAACTTCCTGGTAAAAGTCTAAGATCATGAATGAAATTAAGATAGGCACAAAGCACAAGGAAACATTAACTTAGGTCTTACTTATTGCTGAACAGGGACATAATTATAATGGGGTAGGAAGCGGAAAATGAAGTCGCCTTCATTCCACGACAAGCAACACGCAATGGCACTGAGTAAAGGAGAAGACACTTCCTTATAAAACAGTTTCCCCTTCAGATTCTGTGCTCAAGTATGGAAATATCTAATGGCTTTGCAAGAAAGCACAGTACCTTAGCCAGGAATCTGGGTCAGAGTTGATTCTAGTTTGTTGTAATTTCATGAAGATTAATTTTTTTCCACGTTGGATAAAGCATTAAGAGATAATGATACCGAGACTGGAGAGGTGATTCAGTAGCTAAGAGCACTTTTTTCTCGTGCAGTGGGCCTGGGTTCCTCTCCCAGCACTCCAATATTTATTTTAACTGCTTATGTTAAAAGGTGAGTTGTTACATACATACATACATACATACATACATACATACATACAAACATACGAATATATACATATAATCTCAATCATAGAAATTGCCCCAACAATAAAGCAATAAAGTGCAACTCTCCCTGCCTCCTGCACTGACTGGTTTCCTATGTCAACCACTGTCTTTCATTTGCTTTCCTTCCCGTCCTTGCTGAGCTCCAGATTCCTATTGAATTGGATTTAGAATTCTGTCGACAAGTTGGAAAAATGATGCCTCCTCTCTTTGAGACAGTTCAGTTTTATGGCAAGGATCTGAAATTCCAAGAGTTGGACGTGCACCTAGATGTGACACTAAACGCTGGAATTTTCTGACGAACTAATGTAGAAAGCATTCTAGGTCATCTGGAGGTTGCTGGAGTTGCTGGCATGATTGTTCCTTCTGTGAAATGAAGAGATCAGCGTGCCTGGTGATTACTATCATTTCAAAGAACTTTCACAAGATGCTTTAAAATGAACCAATATTTACATGTATGTCAAAATTATTTATGCTTATAGTGGCTTTATTTGCATAAGAACACATCTCTAAAGATCTCTCATGGAAAAAGGGGACACACTATAAAACTCCATGTCTTTTAATGCATTTTTTAAAAAATGTAACCATGGTGACACCTTGAGTTTGATTAAATACATGCCATTCTAGCATGAAAATTGCAATTACTCCAGAATATTAAGCGTCCTTTGAATTTCAGATTAGCTTATTTATCAATACTAGAGTCAATTGAGCTGCCTGTTCAATGTTTATTTTTACCTTTGTGATTGTGAACAGGTAGACTTTTCCCTCTTCTTTCTTGAGGTCGTTCATGTATGTGGGAGCACCTACCAGGAGTACGTCTGTGATGGAGTCTCTATCCACATCAACCGCACACAGCACACTACCAAAATAGGAGCCAATCTGCAGTAGCAAAGCAAATTCATCTTAGGAGCCATATAATCACATGTATTCTAGCAATGCAACTCTAGGTATTACTGATGGCAGTGAGCCAGAGGCCACATTCAAAAGAGGAACCCTTAACGGTTACACGAGCTGTGATTTAGAGGAAAACCAGAGAGAGAGGGCCAGCCAAGGACAGCAAATAACCACGGTCCCATGAGAAACAAAACAAAACCTGTTATAATAAAGGTACCTTATCAGAGTGTAGGGAGGGGGTAGAGGGGCCAGGGAGGGAAGTATCATTTGAATAGTATCTTAAGGACAAAATGAGTTTTCTAGGTTCAGGGAAATGTGAATGATGTAATCCCAATGGCATGGTACAGCACAGGTGATGTTGCCAGGTAGAAAAGATGGGAGAACTAGGGAGAGATGAAGTGAAATTAGAATGCCCGGGGTTTTGAATGCCACCTCATCCAGCAATATTCAGTGAGTGCCGGTGTAAACATTTATTAGGAATTTTAAAATTAACATGTTATTTCTTCTATAGTACTGTCATTGTTTTTTTTTTTTCCCCTCAAAATAGAAACACCTTTCTTCAAGCTACTACAAAGGAGGGAAAAGCAGGATCTAATAGCTATGTGGTGAACTAATTTGTGGTTCCCTTACTCCTACAAAATCAATGGCGGTAGCAGGATCAGACTTAATCCCAGCGAAATTTTTGTTGTTAGGATTTAACATAGATATGAGTAAATTCAGATGACGTTGTCAAAACACAGAGGAACCACTCGGTAAACATCAGTTTCCACTCACTCACACTCAACTGTCCATCGGCCCCTGTTATCCATAAAATCAACTTCACTTGCTCAGCCATGACTTTTACCTGGTCCCCTCTGTGAGACTGAATCACTGTGACGTTGCTGTCTTTGTCAACGCTGTACAGCACTATCTGGCCAGTATAATTTGCCCGTGGAGCGCCAGCAACAAACTGGACACCCTTTGCAGTAGAAATGGAAGCCACAGAGTAACCTAGGAGAGAAGACATTCTAGGTTGAGCACTCTGCCAGAGAGGGCTTTCGAGGGGAGCAGAGATGCTCAGAAATCTTGATGTAGGATGTGATGATTACTCATGCTCCCGAGATGAATTGTTCTGACTGACCTTCCTTTGTAGCTCTGACTACCATAGACAGGACCTCGATGTACAAAGCCGTCCCTTGATCCCGGCATGTTCTCATCAGCTACCTACAAGACTGGCTAATTGCTAATTTTAATTGCCAACTTGACACAATCTAGTATTACCCGAGAAGAGCCATTTCAGTGAGTGGTTGTCTAGATTCAGTGTTCCCCTGGATGTATCTGCGAGAATTAGGTTGATTACATCCAGTGAGTAATTGAGTCGGGAAGAGCTGCCCACTGTGGGTGGCACTGTTCCCTAGGCAAGGGATCCTGAGCTAAATAAGAGTAGGGGAAGCAAACTAATCATCCATTTACTTATTTCTCTCTGCCCATGACTGTGTATATAATGGGATGAGCTGCTTTAAGTTCCTACAGCCTAGATTTCCCCACACTGATGGGTAATCATTTGGAATCATGAGCCCAATAAGTTGCCTTTGCCAATCTATCTTTTCACAGCAACAGGAAAACAAAGACGCTGGCCTTTAACATGTATTTAATGAACGAATAAATGAATTTAAATTGTAATGCTGCCCCACAGAAAGAAGACAGGTCCTGGAATTACAGAGTTCTAGGCGTGAACTCTGGGTTTGTCATTTGCTATGTTGCTGAGGTTGATAAACCTTATTAACGATACAGGGTCTCAAAGGATTTTGGAAGGATTTGTGTAGCTAGAGTACAGCACCCCTAAGCATCAATGGATGCTTATTATTTGAATAGCAACAACAGCAAACACACAAAAGCGACTAAGAACTCTAAAGCAATGGAGGGACACTAGCTTGTGTATCTCCTTTTAGGAACAACTTCTGTTTTGGAGAAACAACCACGTTCCAGGGATGTCTGCCTGAACAGATTTGTGTGTTTTAGAAACAATGGAGTTGAATAACAGCATTGATCATATGAGCTCAAAGGATCTCCGCAGGTAATTTGAGTATAAAGCCCAGCTTTCCTTACTTACGGGCCGAGACTTGACTGGCAAAGAGGTAACATCTGCGCAGTACAAACAAGAAAGCAGAGGACAGTGTGGAGGCTCCGTGGCGCCGACTTGAGAGTTTAAGGAAAAAGAACCCCGCGTTGTCTGAGCCAACCGCTGTTGTGCCTCACCTAAAAATGAACTGTGGTTTTTATCCTGCAGAACATGATCGAAGGCCTGCTTAGGAAAGACGAAGTGCTTGCTAGATGTCTCCTGGATAACAGTTCCACTCCAGTCAAAAGCTCCCACTGCACCCAGCATCAGAATATCCTAAAGCAATCGAAGAAATGAAGATGAAGACAAATTAACGTTCAATGCAAGACAACTCGGGCCAATTAAAACATCGAAATAAACCATCAAAATTTAAGGAAATTTGCACAGTAAACTACACGTGTACCTTAGATTCGTTTTGGTTGTACCAGAGAACAAGCTTACCACAAGCCATGGCAGCAGTTCTCAACCCGTTGGTTTCAGCCCCTTTGATGGTTGAATGACCCCTCCACAGGTGTCACCTAAGACCACCGGGCATTTACATTACGATTCATGGCATTAGCAATATCACAGTCACAAAGTAGCAATGAAAGTAATTTCATGGCTGGGAGTCACCGCAACATGGAGAACTGTATGAAAGGGTCACGGCATTGGGGGGGTTGAGAACCACTGAGCTATGCTTTCTTGGAAGAAGTTATTATCATGCATTATGTAGAAATCTTTGCAATAGGCCATGCACAGGATGGATGGATAGTCCTCTTCAATTAAAAGGCACACTGTTTGCAAATGCTGACTGAACCTTTCAGGATTTACAGAAGTATCGGGTGAGGACTCATCCCATGCATTCACAGGAAAGGCTCATGATGGGTATGACATACACTAATGCAGTGGCAAGTGCTGGCCTCAGAAGAGGGAGGGGATACTGCTCTTGCTGAGCACGTCTTGGGAGTCCTGACCCACCGGTGGGATTTTCAGCTCTCATCTTAGTGTGCATGCGGCGTGTGCTGTATGTTTAGATGCATGAAGAGGCCAGGGGAGGACATCGGGTGCCTCATTCTGTCCCTCTCTGACTCGTTCCCTTGACACAGAGTGTCTCACTGAAGCCAAGATGGCAGCCAGCAAGTCCCGGCGGCTCTCCTGTCTCTGCACTCCCCACATTGCTAGCGTTACAAGCAGCCGCGTAGAATTGTGGGTGCTGGGATATGAACTTGGGTTCTTGTGCTTGTCCAACAAGCTCTTTTACCCACTGAGCTCTAGCCCTCACAGCCCTTCATCCTTTTCTTCAGTCCTTTCCAAATGTTCCGGCATCTATATCCCTGTATCCCACGAGTTTAATCATAGCACAGCCACAAAATTCACCTGTAGCCGCGACAGAATGTAGTGGATGAAAGCAAGCCCAAGTCAGGGGTGGGGAGGATCAGGCAGCTCAGGCTCCTCTGCATTGCTCAAACTCAAGTCAAATATCAGAGGCTACAAGTCATTAGGAGCACAAGGCTTGGTGCAAATGAAAGATGTTATTGTTAAGGGATTTTTATAGAAGGGGACGTGATGATGTGGGGTTGAAACTAACAAATAGGGGGAAATGTATCCCATTCTGCAGGAAAAATGTAAAACTTTTAGAATGCGCATATTATAAGTGCAGATTCTAAGCTGGGGCTCTATGAATGGGCTCCAGTGACTGGACAGTAACCCCATGGAACTGTGTGAAAATTTTCTGCAATATTGTATTTATTTACCCTTTTTCTATGGGAAAGATCTCTAACTTTTGTCAACTTCTCTTAAGGGTTATCGGATCAGGAATATGAATATCTTTTATTCCAGGTAGAGGATGTGCTGTTCTTGGTCCTTGGATCTGCTTATCACTCCCTGACTTCAAATTAATTCCTAAACATTTCCCAGAATCTTAAATCATTTTCTTTCCCATTCCCCTCCAATGTCCTGGCCAGAGTTCTGGTCCAGACCCGTGTTTCTGAGAACACTGGACGGAATCCCTGAGCTGCTACCAAGACAGTGGGTTCCAAGCCATCTCAGGCTTCAGGAATCCCCCATTTTCAACAACTCTCTGTCTCTGCTTTTAGAAAACGATACTATGGCAACGTAGACAGCAACTGCATCTGACGAAAGGGCTTGTTTCTCTGACAAAAGTTCTAGGTGGCTAACTGAGTCCCATGGAATTCTTATGAGGGGGAAGCCGGGAATTAGTATAGTGTCTTTGCCACAGGGAACTCAAAGCCTTTCTCATATCTTTATGTTTTCCTCTGACAGAGCAAAGGGAGAATTTAGCTACTGGGCCCAGGAATCTGAATCGTTGCTCAGAGCATGGCTCTTTTCCTACTATGTTTGAACTATTGTGTTTATGTGTGTCCTGGCAAGTGGCAGTTTTGGCTGAAACTTATCTGAAATACACACATTTTGAGGAGAGAAATCTGCGCTGAACCCTCCTTGTGCCATCTCCGTCTGGAAGTTGTCTCCTCCCTGAACGGTACCTGTAAAATGCCATTTTCAAAATTATATGATTATAAAGATTATCAATCAAAATTTCAACCATGGACACACATTTGCAAGCTTGTGCATTCGTGTTCTCTCTCTCTCTCTCTCTCTCTCTCTCTCTCTCTCTCTCTCTCTCTCTCTGTCTTATATCAATGTGCAGCTACAGCCTGGAGGATTGTTGAGTGAGGAAATCACTAAGAAAGTGTCCAAAGAAGTGTTCAAAGTTGGCTTTGAGCCCCATCAAGCAGTAATTTATTTAATGTAGCATTTATGCTGTTCCTGATATCCAATTAGTCTGAACAAAGAAAGAGGATTATTAGTTAAGGTGGGAACCAAGATCAGGGTATTCTTGTAAATTTCTCATTACTAGCTAAGAAACTATGTGTCTTTTGCTTTTAAATACGGGTACTCCTAATGCACAAATACTTCAGATGCATGGGAAGATTGGGTGGTGGCTTCATACCATAGACTGGGCTGAGGGAAACCTGTGTCAGCCATGGGAAACCAGGACTCAAGACCAAAGAGTTTACTAGCTGGGAAGTTTGCTTTCATTGCACTTAAGTATCTCTCCATGTCTAACACTGCAGAAATCTATTGGTAGGCATGTTCTTTTCAGCATGGTTGGAATGGTTGTGTTTCAATAATGCTCATGACAAGCAAGCCATATTTTTCCATGGGCACTTGAATAGAACAAACCTTACTACTGTGAAGGTCCTCTTGCATAGGAGGTGTAAAAATTAACACTTATTGCATAGAGACAGTTTCGGGGGGGAGAGAAATAGGTTTATATCCCTCAAATGTCATCAACAACAGAAAACGTCAAAAATCATTTCACATTAGCCTTAAATTACATTGCAATTACTCTTACTCATGGACCTCAAGCAAATTCACTCATACAGATAGATGCCTTAGTAGTATTGAATTATTGCAGGAGGCCTTTGTTTTGTTTTTTGTTTTTTGTTTTTTTTTTTTTGGTGATGATTTAAATAACTCAGAGATACCACACTTCTGCAATAAAATTTGGGGTGGGCTAGAAATTTCTAGTGTACCATCAGAAGATACCTATGCAGTACCTTCAAAGCCAGCTTCTAAGGTGGGGCCTGAGATGTAGGCACACAATTAACCATCAGCTTTATTGCTGAGTTATTTGTGTTAAGTTCCTACAACCAGGATTTGGGTCATGTGGTACTTATTTTTACCAACTGGATAGAATGTTCCAGTTCTCCTGATGGTCTGCCCCAAGGATGTTGCAAGGCCATGGAAGTGCTTCGGCCGAGCTTCAGTAAGGCAAGCCTTTCCCCCTAACTGAAACGCTGGAGATCATCACTGTGTTTTCATGATATATGTTTACTATAAACAAACTCAAGAATTTATAAAATTATATAACTAAAAAAACTATGATTACAATAGATGTTTCTAGGTTGTTCTCTCAAAAACTAGGGGAAAAAATGTCATCTTATCAACCATGTGTGAGCTTTGCACTGTAAGAGATTTCTGGAAAATTATACAGTTGTCGGTGTGTTGTCTTTTAGGCAAAACACAGAAGTGGTTGGATTTATATTTTCCTTCTGCTCACCAGTTTCCTTCATTTTTCTTGGAAATTGTGTATCCATGTGTTTTGTTCTATCTTTCCTCCTTGACCTATCTGAGTTATTTTTATGCATGGTCTGTAAGTTCATATTCACATAGCAAATACATTATATAAAAACAACAGATTCTCCAACAAAAAAAGTATTTGAAGGAAGAATTTGAGAAAGGCCTTTTTACCTTCGATGCTGAAAATGTGCTCTCCCAGTGTTCCAGCCTTTTCCAGAAGAGATGCTTCGTCGGCCACATTGAAAAAGTATCTCTCTGTTGGAGTACTCGCGATTGCTTTGATTTCTGTGATTAAATTTTTAGTATCAAGGGCATTTCTGTTTAAATACCCAAGAACCTTGAAATTAAAAAAAAAAAAAGAGAGTATGACAAAGGTCATTCTTCTACCTCAATGTCCCTATCTATTCATTTCAGTACATTTCTGATCACCACAGAGCTTCTGGCAAACATTTCCAGACCTGGAAAGCAGTGGCATACAGGACTGTGTACCTATCGACCACTAGATATGCCCAAACAAGAGCCACTTACTGCTATGCCGAACCTCAATATCTCATTTTCATTGCACTTCTGGATCTCCTCTTCCAGCATCAACCCATCATGGGATTCACCATCAGTCACAACTACCATGACTTTCGTAGCACCTGGGCGCCCACCAGAAGATGGTAAAAAAGCATGCTTTCTGTGGCAGATAAAAACCACTCATTATTAACAAAAGCTAACGTGTAGACCTATGTTTCGAAAGAGAAACAGAAAATTAGCGTCTTTAAGCCTATCCATCATGAACCATGCTGTGCTTTCCACGTCAATGTCCTTCTGTGTCAAAACCAGTATCATACTTAAGAACGTTCTTCTACTCGTAGTCTTCAGAAATATATGAAATATAATTTAATTGGTTTCACGATGTATGTGTGTGTCTGAGTTAGTTTTACATTGCAACAAAGCAACAAGAAACTCAGAAAGGAAAGAGTTTACTCAGTTTACGGGCTATGTCTGTCATCAATGGAAGCCAACGCAGAAACTGAGGCAGGAGCTTAAGCTAAATCTATGGAAGAGCAACAGCTCACCAGCTTGCCTCATATGGCTTCCTTGGTTACTTTTCTTATGCAGCCCAGGCCCACCTGCCTAGAAATAGCACAGCCCACAGTGGGCTGGACCCGCCTCCACACACACAACATCAATTATTAATCAAGAATATGCCATGTAGTCATGTCCATGGAAGGACAGTCTGATGGAGAGAATTCCTCAGTTGAGGTTTACCCTTCCCCTGTGTGTGTGTGTGTGTGTGTGTGTGTGTGTGTGTGTGTGTGTGTGTGGTATAGGGTCCATATACATAGGCACAGATACACATGCATTCATGTATACATGAGGGTCAGAGGTCAATATTAAGTGTCTGTTTCCTCAGCTTTCCACTTTAGTGTTTAAGACAAGGTCTCTCTAAACCTGGATTTCCGTGACTCGGCTGTCCCGGAAGGCCAGCAAGCTCTGGAGTTCCACCTGTTCCACCCCAGTTCTGGATGTACAGACAAATTCCACAGCATCTGTCTTTCCTGTGGGTTCTGGGGACCCAAAGTCAGGCCACTCCCTGGGCAACCTTCCAGCCCCTATTTTTATATTTACAGAATCAAATTCATTAATCCATTTTCTTATATTCCCTTTATATTTGATATAGTACTTACAAAAATGCATGATCTCTTTTTTAAAAACTCTAAAATTATCTTTAAAATCTCATGCACATGCTCAATCCTTTAATGCTTTCTTTTATATATATATATATACATACATACATACATACATATATATATATATATATATATATATATATACATATATATATTTTTTTTTGAGGCAGGGTCTGCCTTGTAGCACAGGCATAAACTAATATGCCCAGCCAGACTGAAAGTTTAATACAGCTAAAATCTATTTTGACCCAAGAAGCAAGGCATATCATTCAACTTTGTTTTCTTCTAGATAGCCAGCCAACTAACAAATATTTCTCTCTATCTATTAGACTCTCCTGTAACATTACTCTTAGGTAATGTCACCTACTTCATAGGAAAAACTATCAGGAAAAACTGGCTGTATAATGATGTCTGTGTCCTGTTCATCTCTTCTATCTTCATATTCATGTCTTCAGTGTTGACCAACCAACCATTCTACATATTTACCCATACTCTAAAGCCAATGTTTATGGAGCTGATAAATCACTTTGTTATGCAGAATATTTTATGTGCACTGTATTAAGAAACATAGAAATGTAGAAATATATTTCATATTTTTCAGCCAAGACACATTTTCGTTGTGGAATTCATATCCTTTGTGTAAAAAGGAGAGTTTACCCTTTGTGGGTACAGTACACATCAAAAGTGATTTGAGGATGGAACTGCCCCATTTAGTTTTGATTTCCTGCATTGATTGTCTGGGGTGATATTTTGTAATGGTAGGTGTTTGATGTAATTAAGTGTGTGGAAATGGGTTATTTACAGAAAGGATATCAGAATGCTCTCTCTCTCTCTCTGTGGTGTGTCTGTATGTATGTCTGTATCATGTCTGTGTATCTGTGCGTTTTAGAAGGTGTTGATTAGCATTTGTGTGGGTCCTGATTTTTGTTCATTGGGAAATTGTTGTGGTAGGGGGAAAATCTAGGACTTTAAAAAGGTAATAAAACCCAGACAAGCCACACCTCAACAAACAGTGATCATGCCCTATTTTGGAGAGGAAAGCTTGCCAGGTCCCCAGGTTCCTTCCTTGGGGATAGGCCCTAGCTACATTCTCTGCTGAAGACAGGAGTTCTGTAAGGTTATCTTGACAACATTCTTTTCCTTAGTCTGAATTACTGGACAGGAAGGGGCTCCCCACTTAATGATAGGTGACTCACATTTTATGGTCAGGCCCTCTAGAGACAGGAATGACAAAGCCAACCATATCTTTTCTTATGGACAGTATCTTTTGAGACATATGAAGAAACTCTTACCAGTTGATGAAAGCAGCAACTTCAGTACACACAGGGAGCAAATGAGGGGATAGGTCAAAGGGGGCACGAAGAGACAGACGTGCCAAACGTGGCGGTGGCCAGATACGTGTGTGTCAGGGGAAGTAGGAAGAGGAGAAATGACACTTAGCATCTGAGCAGTGAGGGAAAGGGAAGAGGCTGCTGTAGGACATAGCGAAATCTCTGAGATGGGATTTACTTCGGCTTTGGCTTTCCATTCCCACTCCTTCCCCTCCCCCCTCCGCTTTTTTTTTTTTTTTTTTTTACTTTTATATTGTCAAAGTGTTGGCCGGATAGTATCAAAACGTACCTTGCAAATTCAATTGCTTTGAAGGTATTTGTGAGGTCACCACCATGTTGGTAGGTCAGGGATGTGGCTTCAACCATTTTCTCTTTATTTTTGTAAGTGTTCAAGTCAAATACAACCCTTGGCTCGTTGGCATACTGAATTAATGCCACCTTCAAAAGAGACATTTATTCATTATTATTAACTTATGAACAACCTACATTTGGCCAATGTAATAAGAAACATGACGTTAGATGCGTAGTCTGATAGCTCAAAGGAACCAATTTCAGTTCTGTGCTTGAAGATAATCCTTCTTCCCGTGGAAGTATCTTTGTTAGAGGTCTTCAGTATGTAATAGGAGCATGACTGCCAAGCAAGATGACCTGTTACAACTTACAGACTTGGTTCAGAAACAACCATAGATACTTAAAGCACTTCATTAGTATATTCAATGCAAAAGAATATAGGGTCCAGCTCTCTGATACAAAGATTAAAATAGATACAAATAAATAAACTTTCTAATTATCAGTGGATACTAGCTTGAAAACAGCTGTAAGCAATTATAGACGAAGGCTAACACCTCATTAGTTGTGAGTAGTTTTGTAACAGAGACGGCGTTGAATTGAAGAAAAATCTCATGTATTCCTCTGCTGTGTGCTCAGTTTGACTAGTAGATTTTCCCTATTGTGGGATTGAGCGTTGTTGGAGCAAGGATGTTAGATAAGCATGTCGGGCAGGGAACCTCCAGCCTTCAGAGAAAAAAAATTGAAAGAACCTTATTTGAAAAAACCAAAACAAACAAATAAACAAACAAACAGAAAGATAAACTTCTGAACAATGTATCTGGGGGAAAGTTTCCAATCCTTTACATCAAGAAACTCATATCTTTCTATCACTATACTGAGCATTAAAAGAATTATCCCAGGCCAGGAGATGGAATTGTGTAAGCAGGAAATATGGATGTGTGGTAAGAGGTTCTCTGAAAGACTCAAGCCTCTCTGATGTAAGGTGGTAAGGAAGGATAGCTGATTCCAGTTTGTCATTTTGCCTGGGAGGTGGTATGACAGCCACTGGGAAGGCATGAGGAACATGGTGATCATCCTGTACATCTCCCTTTAAGATAAGTTGTGCAATTGATTAAAAAACAACAAAGGTTGTCAGCCAACTTCTATGACATAATCATAGACCCAAATGCAAAGTATGGCTTAAAGATAAGGTGCATATTAAATATGGGCCATTAAAGGAAACAGTGGATTGTGGTAGGAAGACACAGGAGAAAGTCACAAAGTCTGGAGACTATTAAATTGGCTGGGACAGGTAAGGTAACTGAGACAGAAAAGAAACAGATAAATTGGGAAACTTTCTTCTTAAGGAGATTTAAAAGTCTTGTTCTCCAGAAAGCAGTGTGATATGTGGTCTTCATTAACAGAATTTTCTATTAAAAATTCACAGTGGAATTTCCATGGTCTCTAAAGGCATTTTACCCACTCCTTTGGTATAGAAAATTAACATCAAAATTTTATATATATATATATATATATATATATATATGTATGTATGTATGTATGTATGTGTATATATACATACATATATATATTATATGACGTTGATATATATGTGGTTTTTCGAGACAGGTTTCTCTATGTGACAGCAGCCCTGGCTATCCTGGAACCGGTATTTTCGACCATGCTGATCTTGCTCACAGGGATACACTTGCCTCTCTGCCTCTGCCTCCCAAGTGCTGGGATTCAAGGCAGAGGCCACCACTGCCCACAACTTTTATAATATTTCTCAGGAAACTAGAAAAGTGAGTTTTCAGTAAAGATGACTGTGAAGTCTAGGGGAAACAGTCCCAACAATTGTTACTAGATGTGAGGCACTGTCCTGTCAGATGGCAGCTAGGGCCGCACACTGGGGAAGCAGTGAATGGTATCCTGGGGAGACCGCTGCTTCCGCCAGAAGGACCTATTTGTGGTAGATCCAGTCAGGAATTGAAAAAAGAAAAGAGGAGCATTGGTGAAAAAAAGAATCTCAAACTATCCAGGAACTACCACCCCCTCCTTCCCTTCCTACCCTGCTCTCCCCTCACCCCTGGGGCCTTGCTATATTGCCCAGGCCAGGCTCAGAATCCTGGTTTCCAGAAATGTTCTTGCCTTTGTCTACTTAGTAGTGTGGAATATAACTGTCACTTTAAAAAAAAAAAAAGATAGATACATGCTACTCAGTCTTGGGGAATCATGAAACTTTTATGCCCGCGCTTTGGGTGCCTACATCAAGAAGAAGATTGCATGGGACTGACCTAGGCACTCTGCGTGTATGATACAGTTGCATAGTTTGGTCCTCCTGTGGGACACATAACAGTGAGAACAGGGGCTGTCTCTGACTGCTTTACTGGCTTTTAGGACTCTACTCTTCATCCTGGGTCTCCTCGCCCAGCCTTAATACATGGGAGGTGCTTAGTGTTGCTGCAACCTCATACGCTATGCTTAATGATACTCATGTGAGACCTGCCCTTTCCTAAACAGAAAGGGAGGAGGAGTAGATGGGGGTGGTTGGGAATACGGGGGGAGGGGGCACGGAGGGGCCAGGAAGAGGGAGGGGAACTTGTAGTCTATATGTAAAATAAATAAATATAAAAACACAACAGAAAGGAGATATAATAACATCCAATTGAGACTTCTGAAAAAAATGGAAAATGATTTCAAATTATTGAAAATACTTTCTCTTATGCAAGCATCAGAGTTACTAGTTTATAAACAAAAAGCTATAAACTAATATCAGAACTATGCTTACTAGTTTTAAATTTCACAGAATTCAGATAACTCTTTATAAGCAAAGTGTAAACAAGAGGAATTCACTGTTGATCAAAATGGTTACAGGGGAAAATATTTAAAACACTTTATTTTGTAGTTATGTGTACATGTGTGTGCCTATATGAGTGCACGTGCACGATGTGTGTACAGATGCCCATAGAGGACACCAGACTTTAGATATCCTGGAACTGGAGTTGTAGGTTGGCAAGTGTTCTTAACCACTGAGCCATCTCTCTGTTTCCCTAGACGCATTATGAGTAAACTCACGGGTTAAAGAATTAAAATAAGCAGCTTTTAAAAGGGATGTAAACACTATACACCATTGTTTTGATGACTCTGTCAAAAATAAAACTAAAATCAACCACTCTGAACAAAGCCATAGACCAAATACTGACCTTAGAAGTATGTTTCAATTATTTTCCCCAGGTCACCATTAAATGCATTAAAATGGCCGTTTGACAAATGTAAAGTTTAAGACTCCACATCTAACCTCATTTTCCCCAAAGGAGATCCATAGGCTCATTTGTGATCTTTGGCGTTCTTACCTGTGTCTTTTTGGGTCCTATATCCAGACCTTGTACAAATTTCTCTAAGAAATTCTTCACTGCATCCCAGGGATAAATACTGTTGGATTCATCACACACAACTACAACATCTACGAGAGAAGGGCAAGCTACACAGGGAAAAAGATGAAAAATAACACAACCGCATCAGTTCCGGTCTTGCAGAGAGGTCGGGTTGCACCTGACACCCCTCCCTTCTAACCGTGAGGCATCGCTCAGGTCTCCAGCCACGCTCATTGCTTACCCTGAACTGCGGGCGAGAAGCTTCTGGAGGGCTGGAAGTTTGGACTGATGTCTGAACAAATCCCAGTGGCGTAATACTGGTTTCCACACTGATGTGCCCACAGGGGACCACAGGTCTTCAAAGAAAGGAGAAAATCATACACACACAGGAAACATAACTTTCCACCTCTTGTTCTATGGAATTAAGATGCCATATCTATTTTTCCTTCCCTGGATTATGAAGGCAAATTTTGAGTAAATCCCCTTTACTTTAAAATTAACACACGAATGGACACAAGTGGCGTAATGAACTGCTACGTTTTAACCTTGCTATAAACTGTTTCTTTACTTTGAGCTTCAAGGTCCCTAGCTGGCTGGTATTTATCTCCTTGCCTAAAGCACACACACGCTAACACCTACTAGCTCCATAAACACAACAACTCCGTCCTTTACAGAAGCCGTTCCGTGAATGTTGAGAACTGTGGATTAAACTGAATTAGTTAAAATGCACAGGACACATTAGACTCTCTAATATTGAATTTTCTAGAGGAAAAGAGAAAAATTCAGGAAGAGGTCAAGTCTAAAGGTACTAAAAGTTTCCTAAAGAATTTTACATTATGTAAAGCTGTGACCCATGCATAGAGCATTGAACTTATGGACAGTTAAGTTATTAAAACTGAATAGAAAAGTATGGACTTACGGGCAGTAACTGGCAAAACAAAAGGAATTTATTTGACCCAGTTAAACTGTTAGTGGCTGAATCCTAGCAGCTGTGCTCATATTTCATGCTCAGTGGGCAAGCATGGTTCCCCTCCCGTAAAAACTGGAACACTTTGACAATTAGGAAAAAGTCATTGTTGCTTCTGGCTAGTACACACACATATGCATGCACACTTATGCACACACGCACACATGCACCAAGCACACACACACACACACACACACACACACACACACGCACAGTAGATGACAATCATTCATGCCCATGTGTTCATCCCCAGTCATTTTATCACTTTGGCGGGTAATTCATGATGTATGCAAGAGTAGAAGTTCTTTTTCATAAGCAATGGAAAACAGAATTAAGAAGTCGAAGTGTGCCAATTGTTACTGCCAACACATTCTTGCTTTAAGCCCAGAACTTAAGGAGGTTCAGAAATATGTGACGGTTGCCAGTCTTCTGCACATAACTCTTATGAGGAGCTCAAGACGCTGACCTTTTGAATGTGTAAAGAAACTTGGGTCTCCTGGCTCCCTTACACTCACTAACAATTCACTTGGAGTTTGTTAAGATTTTATCTAGGATTAAGGTCTAAAGCTTTCAATGTACATCTACAATCTATAATTCTTAAGCTATTCTGATTTAGCCAACTGCAAAAATAAGCAAATCAACTCTATATAAAGATGTCAGAATACAACATAGCACAAGGATGCCTTGAAGCATTTACACACTGATTTGGCAATATGATAACCAGTAAAATGACAATATTGGCTATATTTTTTAAAAATCATGTTTTTTTTGTTTTTTTGGTTTTTTTTCCAGATTTTAGGTGAGCATCTCAATAACACAGACCATCTGGGCTTTTGAAGACAAAGTTTTCAGACCTTTCTAACTAGGATATTTTTATGTTAGCCAGAGGAAATTTCAACTATGATTTGTTTTTTGACTTTTTTGGGGGGGAGTTATATGATTTTTTTCTCTGCATTGTCAAATAGTTTTTAGCAATTTCCTATATTAAGTCAAAGCTCAGAAAGTCTTTTTTCTTTCAGAAATTTTCCTCTCCTAGCAGATACATGACAGGAGAGACAGCTCCTCACTCACTTTACATAGGAGCAGAGTAGCCAGCCCTTATAGCATCGATTAAAGACAGAAGCACTCCTTGGCTGCTGAATGGAAGGTGCCTGTGCATGCTCCTCCAGGAAACAGAAACAGGACCTGGGATTCTGATGGTATCCACACCTGCTCAGAAAACCTCCCAGACCATCAGTAGGCTTCCCATGTCACTCAAAGCATCCCATCGTTTGCTGAATCCTCAACAAGTCTCCACATTAGCACTGCTATGATTCCTTGGTTATCCAAGTAGCATCATTGATCCAAAAGCAAACTTGAACATTTAAACCCCCAGATTGAGTCTGCTAATAGGGTTGGCAGGATGACTCTGACCACAAATTCTCTGCAGAGGAAGGAGGATCTGAGAGGACAATACTCACTAGAAAGCCGCCGGTTCTCGAATTCCTGGTGAGGGTCAAACCCAGGCTCATGTTGGTTTTTATCTCCGTAACATTTGAGATGCTTGCTGAATCTTTTGGAGAGAAAGAGATGTTTCAAAGAATTAAATATCTATCATTCACGTATGGCTATAATAAGCCCAACAGGCAGGTTTGGGTATAGACAGCATAAGATATCCGGATACTAGCATCACATCATGGAGAGTGGGGCACGGTGTCTTCAGCTCACCGGTGTATGGGAAGCAGCTAGGCACCATCACTGCCAGGGCATTTAAATATGTGACTTTAAAAGGACAACATTTTCATCAAACAAACACACAGTGAGGGCACCATGTGTGTCTGTTTGTTTGCGACCTTGCCTCCTGCTTTTTTTCCCTTCTTCGGGACCGTTTGAATACTCTTAGTGAACACCACCTGATAGACGCTGGCTCAAAACACAATTAAAAAAAAAAATGAAAAGAAACCATGGGGCCAGCCAGGTAAAATAAGAAATGAATCTGTCTCTCCAAGCCATGACACCGATATGATTTGCATGCTCTCCATGCTCTCCAGTGCCAGGCAAACCATCTCGGCAACATTCTTTAGTCCCAGGCAGGGTGGCTTCCCTTGTTTCCCAGAGTGACTGCTCTTAGACTTGGCGCTACGTATGAAGCCTCCCTTCTAGCAGACTCAGGGAGAAGCTCACACACACACACACACACACACTCACACACACGCGCGCACACACACTCACACACTCACACACACTCACACACACACACTCACACGCACTCACACACACACACACTCACACGCACTCACACGCACTGTGGCGTCAATCACACTCTCCAGGCGCTGTTCCTCGGCGCTGACCAGGGTCACTGCAAGGCCTCCTCCCCGCCGCCTTTCTGTCTTAGAGGGGGAGGCCTTCTCCTCAGACGCATTCTCCCAGACACTGGTGACACCTCTCTGGCTAGATACACGCTGCACGGTCATTGGCCAACACCCACTTCATTCCTGCCGCCTCTCTGTCCTTTTCTGGAAAGAGTTCCTGGTCTTGCTGCCCCATAGAGCCATGTTCCCACCTCCCCTGTGCTACCTAATTTGTAGAAGTGGAGGCTGGCTATCAATCCTGCGCTTATTTCTTTATTCTTTTTCTTTTTCTTTTAACATCACAGCCCCACTGGACGTCTAAGTATTAGTTACTTATGTTTTGGTAGGGTATGATTTCTTTGATGCCTGGTGGTGGTGGTCCACGCCCAGCAACTTGGGAGGCAGAGGCAGGCAGATCTCTGAGTTCGAGGCCAGCCTGGTCTACAAGAGCTAGTTCCAAGACAGGCTCCAAAGCGGGGGGGGGGGGGAACAATAAAAACTAATTTCTTTGGTACAGAAAGAAAACAATGACACTCCTATGTATATGCTGTTATTCTTAAAATTAAACATGTGCACATGTGTCTTAAATCCCATGTTTTATTCAAAATCTTCTATGATTATTTTGCTGAATATCCAGCTACACATCAACAGGGTTATTTTTCCTGGGCCCATCCAAACAGTGTAATTGGCCACAAAGCAAACCCCAATGTTTAAATCTCCAGGTTTTATTTCAAAACAGAGGTGGTGGGAAGACACTGATCACAGAGTCTCTCCAGAGGGATGAGAATCTAGAAGAAAAATCTTACAGGAACGCCACCACCTAAACATTAAGTTAACACAATGGATTGAGGTGGTACAGTAAAATTGGTGGTATTTGTTCTCTTTGTTATTGTTGCTTTTCTGTAACACTGGGGATTGAAGCCAGGCCCTCACCTACCCTTGGATCTACCATTCGGTTACACACCCAGTCATTGCAGAAAAAACTTTTGAATATCAGTTCCATGTAGAGCATTTGACATCTCCCATCAGAGCTCTATCACCCAGATCCCTTTTACGTAAACTGAAAATGTTTACTCGGAATTCACACTTCAACCTCTAGCATTTGACACTGCTGACCACATGGCTCGCTAAAAACATGCTTACATAGCACCTACTGCAGGGCAGAAATCATGCGACTCATAGTGTTGTCATGTAGAGATGTGTAAGGAACATTTGTCCTCTTTCTTTCTAATTGTGTGGTGAGTGTGTGTGTGTATGTGGTGTGGTGTGTGTATGTGTGTGTGTATGGTGAGTGTGTGTGTGTATGTGTGTGGTGAGTGTGTGTGTGTATGTGTATGTTTGTGTGTGGTGTGTGTGTGTATGTGTGTGTGTATGTATTGTGTGTATGTGTATGTGAGTGTGTGTGTGTGGTGAGTGTGTGGTGTGTGTATGTATTGTGTGTGTGTATGTGTGTTTATATGTGTGTGTGTATATGTGTGTGTATGTGTGTGGTGTGTGTGTATGTGTATGTGGTGTGTGTGTATGTGTATGTGGTGTGTGTGTATGTGTATGTGGTGTGTGTATGTATATGTGTGTATGTATGTGTGTATGTGTGTGTGGCGAGTGTGTGTGGTGTGTGTATGTATTGTGTGTGTGTGTATGTGTATGTGGTGTGTGTGTATGTATATGTGTGTGTATGTATGTGTGTGTGTATGTATGTGTGTATGTGTGTGTGGTGTGTGTGTGTGGTGTGTGTGTGTGGCGAGTGTGTGTGGTGTGTGTATGTATTGTGTGTGTGCATGTAGAAGCCAGAGGACAAGTGTGGGTGTTGCTCCTCAGCCACCCTCTACCTTTTGTTTTTAGACAGGGTCTAATACTGGATTAATTCAGCTAGATTGGCTGACTGCTGAGCTCATGAAGCCCAGCTGCCTACAATTCCCATTGTTATTGCCTGACATAATATACCTATCTATCTATCTATCTATCTATCTATCTATCTATCTATCTACACATATATGTGTGTGTATACATGTGTGTGTGTGTGTGTGTGTGTGTGTGTGTGTGTGTGTGTGTACAATGTCTGACTATCTTACACACGGCTGTTTAAATTTTTTCCTTTAACTCTTACTCTTCTCTCATACATTACTTCTCCACTATAGTCTTCCCTCCCTCTTCCTCTCCCAGCCCTGCCTCTGGTTCCTGGCCATCCAGGCAGGGCATGGCTGACTGTTTTCATGTCACTTTTGGGGACTGAACTCAGGTATTTGTGCTTGCAAGGCAAGCGCTTTACTGACTCAGCCATGTTTCTAACACTCGATAAGTGCCGTTGAAATCCTTCTTTCCACCATCTAAGGAGAGTGGCCTGGGAGGCAGAACATCACCCACGGAGATTTATTAGACCAGGTCTTCAAGCTCATTAAAAAATTAGGATGCAAACTCGTGCCTATGTGATTAAACAAACAAAGGCACAAAGCTATCTACGTTTCTTCACGTCAGAATTGCGATCTTTTGGTCATTTTGTCAGTGTTGATGGCGAAGGAGACTTCGCTGTATTGAAGGGTTGCTAAGCAGCACTCACTTTGCAGGTTCAGCTTTTCACACCGGGCAGTGGGTGCATCAGTAGGGCACTTGTACACGTCTCCCATTTTGTTCTCAGGAAAGCCACTCCACGGCGACCCGACCAGCAGCCTAGAGACAGGATGTTCCCATGAGTCATCGTGTGGTATGGACAGTTTGTTAAAGAGAAAACCGACCACAGGTCAGCAACATCACGCTTAACTTTTACCTCACATGAATTCAGAACTCAAATGCGTTCAGTTATAATTTGACTTGTTTCCTATCTTCGTTGCTGATCAGGACACTTGGTGAATGCTTGTGAAGTGGCCGCTTTACAAGATAACCTACGGTGGTGTCTCTGGACAGCAGCTAGAGAAAGAAGCATAATGCTTGCCACAGCATGAGCCACACAAGCAACGTCAGGTTTTCTGCTAGTCCATCACATTAATGCAATAGAAGTGGCAGCCAAAATTAATTTTAAAACTTTTTTTAACTTCACATAATAAAAAGTAGCACGTAGTCAACATAAAATGTTTCAATGGACTATTTGTAATTTTCCTATACAAAGTCTCTAAAATTCAGTGCATATTTTATACGGAGAACATATGTCAATATGCAAGCAACATTTTAAGTACACAAAGGGCACAGGTAGCTAGACACACTGCATGTGCTGGCATAGTGCTAAAGAATGACATCATATTCACTTATACCCAAGAATGACAACTAACATTTTTAGAGTTCTTTCTATGCCTTAAGTGCTGTCGTGGGCTGTGTTATTTAGACAGCAGATGAGTTATCCAGGCGGCTATATGGTTACTGCCTTTATACCAAGGATGCTTAGCAGAAATACTGAACATGTGTATCTTGGAGATCTCCTTACTGACTGCAATATTGGGTGCATATCTAGAATACAGGATGAATCTGGTATTCACATCCTTCCTTTGGTTAGCTTCGTTTCCTTTCTAGAGACTTCTTCTCCCTACAGAAATACTAAGTAGATGTTCACACTCATATAGTACTGACTAGAAAGAGACCATGTAGCCTTTGATCATTTCTGTCATTTGCATGTGTGTGCAGGTACATGTGAGTGTTCGTGTGTGTGTGTGTGTGTGTGTGTGTGTGTGTGTGTGTGTAGGCCAGGAGATAATCTGAAACACTATCGACTCCTTTGAGACAGAGTCTTTCCTTGGCTAGGAGCTCCTCAGTTTAGGCTGCACTGGCTAGCCAAGGAGGACCCAAGGATCCACCTGATTCTGTCTGTCTAACATGAGTAGCAAGTTAGTCCCCAGTATTTTTACATGGGTTCTGGGGCTCAGGGTCATACTTCTGAGATAAACACTTTATCAACTGAGCTATTGCCCAATCTCATCAGCTTGATCTTCAGAGGCTATAACAAGCTATGTATTATGTAACATCCAGTTGCTAAGGAAATACATTTGCTTTACTGTTAGTTTTTTTTTTTAGTTGAGATTATCTATGAAATATTTCCATGAATCTTTTTTGTTAATAATGTGTTATTATCATTTATACTTGTGCTCCATGCTAAATATTATGTAGTAGATAGATAGAAATCTAAGACAGATACCTGTATAATAAATTAAGCATACCTGTTTAATATACATAACCAATAAAACAATTATGTGAGAGACATAAAGGATGGGAATTAAGCTCTTCTGTGAAAACAAATATTCAAATGGTCAAAGGTTATAAGGTTGTAAAAATAGGCATGAAAGATTGACGTTTATACTCCAAGGGTAAAATTACATTATTCATTGCATGAAATTATTCTTAGAGAACATTCTGAATACTTTCATGCAATTAAATTTTATTAAGGTCACAATGGAAAGATTTTGTCCTCTTATAAGCAGATAATTTAGCAACACCTATTAAGATGTTACTTGTCATCAACACTTTAATCACCATAGGCATACAGGTTAAGGTTTTTGAAAAGGCAGAGATCTGAGTGGTGTATATAAAGTTTTACAACATTCATTTTAACAGGGGCGCTGGGGGGAGCCTGTGGGTGGTATTTGGCATGCATGTATGAGCAGATCTGGTGCCCGCTTACAGGCAGGAAGGAATCGCCTGTGTACTTTGAAAACTGTTTCCACAATAGCTCAACCTTCTCCATCTTTAGTAGTCTCCAGTATTCATCTGTAGGAGGTCTGCATAGCATTGTTCTGATTTTTGTGCACAGACACATCTTAAAGGAGCGGTGGTAGGCCCCTGATTTCCTGTCCAGCCCTGTCTCTTTCTGACGTTCTCCTGGGGTTGAAGAGACCAATCTGATGGGGCTCAGCTCTCCAGACCACAGTCTTCTCTAGACCTTCATACATGTCATTCCACATGTGTCGGGCTCTTTGCTCTACCCATCAGCTACATCTCCTGTTGGATAAACCTCCCTCAAGAAAACCATCCGGCTCTTCAAACTCTGAGCACTAGCTCCTCAAGTAGATATTAAGGTTGATGAGGGCCAGAGATTCTACGCCTGCAGGCCTAAATTTTTGTTGAACAAATGAATGAAAAAAAAATGAACATTTCAATTATTGATTGGAAGAACTATCTTGGTAAAGGAAAATTAATTGATAATATATAATTATCCTTTAGACAACATATTTTTTGGCAAAGTAAAGGTGAAATAGAGTCAACACACACACACACACACACATACACACACGCACATACACACACGCAAGCACGCACACACGCACACACACACACGCATTACCTGTTAAAATGTTACTTGTACTCAATGTTTCAATCACATTAAGTACACACATTAATGGCCTTGAAAATTTCTTATGTGTACACAATGTGTCTTGATCGTAACTACTTTCCACTCCCAAGCCAACTACCTTTTATCCCCCATTGCATCCTCTCAACCTCCTTTTAAAAATCTCCTGAGTTCTATTAGTGCCTTCCATAAGCGCATGGGTGTGTGACCCTTCACTAGGGTTTTGACAGCCTACCAGTAGCTACACCCCTGAACAAAATAGACTTTTCCTTCCCCAACAGCCATCAATTACCCATAGTTTCTCAGCTAGGAGTGGGTTTTCATCCATGATGGAATGTTCACTGGCTTGATCTTGTGCCGATTATGTAGAGATAACACACAGCTACTGGGAGTTGATGTTCTCAATGACTATGCAAACCCACAAGGCATCATTTCCCAGCTTACCTCCCCACACACTGACTCTTACATTCTTCTGCCTACTCCCCTTTCTGCATAGAGTCTGGAGGCTTAGGTGGTGAGAGGTTGGGACAGCACCTCCTGTTATTTCACACGTGGCTCCTATGACCAGTTATGAGACTCCGTGTAACAAAAAGGTTCTCTGGTCAAGATTTACACATAGAGGAAGGTAAACTGCGGAGTCCGTTTAGGAAGAAAACAACACCATGATGGTTAATCTCCACAGTCAAATTTGACTGGATCTAAAATCAGATGGAACCATGCCTCAGCTGTGTCTACGGAGGCTATTTCCCAGAAGGCGTAACTGAGAAGGGGAGGCACAGCCAAACGGGGGCAGCGGTCATCACTGCCAGGGGCTTTGATGCATAGAGAGGGTAAATCTAGCTGAGTTCTAGCACTCACTACCCTCTGCTTCTTGACCAGAGATGGAATGCCTCACGTTCCTGCCTTCCTCACCATGGCGGCTCTTCCCTCAGACTGTGAGGTAAAACGAACCATTGTTCCTAAAATATTCTTGCCGGGTATCTTGTCACAACAATGGGAAAAGCTACTAAATGAAGTGCATGAAGACAAGCAGTTACAGAAAGTGTGGCTCTGGCCCTCGGCACGCTGTATGGCTGTGTGGGGCCACAATTCAGGCATGTGCCTTGGTCATCCATGCGAGAGCACATATTAATTACTGTCTTCATCTGCTACCTTTAACTATTAGGTAGGACAGGAGAAAACAAGGGAAAACCTGGCCATTTGGGGTATGCCCGAAGAACAAGGGAGTCCTGATCACACATGATTCATCCTGCAAATATGACAGCACATTATGCATCCACCTCCAGGCCAGCAATTCCAGGGAAGGTTCTAGACCACTGACACGGCCTTTACTGATAACATTTCCCACCCTGCAACAGACACCTCGTTACACCCACAGGCTTTCAGGGAATCCTGTTCCTTACAGCTCACCCTCATGAGAGGAGGCTAGTCACCAGAGGCCACTCCCAGGGAGTAGTGGCATTATTAAATTAAGCAGACAGGGAGTTAAGGAGGCTGGTACTGTCAACCATAAAGTTTTATGGAATATAGCTGCAACCGAGAAGTACAAAGGGACAAATGTCATAGAGGGAAGCATGGTGTCCCCAGGTGGGGGGTGGGGGAGTCGAGCCGTGCGAATAGCTGTGCGCGCTGACTCCCCGAACCGAACAACAGCCCAAGAGACAGAGCTCTCCTTCCCTACAGCGAAACTGGGAATTCTTCCAAGACTATCTTAAATAACACTTACTGCTCAATTATCTTGTGGGAAAATAGTGATTATGTAGACTCCCCAAAAAGTAACCAATTTGCCCACCTCCAGTGGAATTCAGAGTGCTTTGTTTAGTTAGTAAACAATATTTACGGGGATATAGGTCAGACAATTTCAAACCCACAATCCAGCAGCTGCTAAAAATATCTTCCCTTGGTCTGTGGGTCTCTAAGCTCTCTAGGCATTTCTGCAACAGTAAGGATTGTTACAGAGATTGTTGGTCAAGGTTCAGGTAAAACAATACGGCATCATCAAGAAGTGTTTAATGAGTGCCTATGGGATGGTCATGCTGTACAGCCTCAGGAGGCACCATTCTTATGTAAACTGTGTGTCCTGGCCCTGTGAGGTTGTGTACGGTGACAAGACTTACTGTCTTAGGGTGACTATTGCTGTGCTTAAAACAGCATGATCAAAAGCAAACGGAAGAGGAAAGGGTTTATTTTTACACTTTCATTTTGCTGTTTATCACTGCAGGAAGTCAGGACAGAAACTCAAACAGGGCAGGAACCCGGAGGCAAGAGCTCGTGCAGAGGCCATGGAGGGGCGCTGTTCACTGGCTTGCTCCTCATGGCTTGCTCAGCCTGCTTTCATATAGAACCCTGGACCACCAGCCCAGGGCTGGCACTACCCACAATGGGCTGAGCCCTCCCC